AACAGGGTGGAGACTAGAAGACAAAGGTGCCCAGTAGGCCCTATCTACATGATTTGGTTATTGATGAGAAAAGGAGGAAGAGGAGTATCAAATAGTATTCAGGCTCCTGGCTATGCGATGAATGGAAAAGGATAGCAAGAGAAGGAATAGTTTTGAGCAATCGATGGTTTTGACTTGCTCCTGGTAAGTTGGATTCGTACCCAATAAATGATAAGGGAAATCCAGCCTGATGTTACATAAGCAACTGATTAGTTCAGGTTGCCTGGGCTTGAAGAGGTTCTCTCTGAATATTTTTGATCTATTAACATGGTATTTGTAAGTGAGTTGAAAGCATGTAAACTATAAAGGAGTGCTTGCATTTTACAATTGATGGATTGCTTTATTTGGAGTTATGCAATATGACAAGCCTTATGACAGGCTTTTTGTGTGTATGTTTGAGAGACATTTGACTGCCACAGTTTTGAAAATGTGGTATTTCTGGTATGTTTAGATTGTGGGTTTTCAAAAACCGTTAAATATTACAATTAGACTTGTTGTGTTCTTTTTTCCCATTAGTTTCCCATGAAATGTGCAAGTATAACATCTGGCATTCCTTTGTGTAAGAACTCTGGCAAAAGAGCAACAAGGATTAGATTCAGCACATGTCAAATCATCCAGTTGTAATATTTTCATCTAGAGTTGAATCTGAAGCTGGGTGAAACGGCTGTGTCAAGAGGAGTCCTGCGTAATGTCACAGAGGGTCCACTTAGGAGAATTCCTTTTATGGTTGGGGCATTCTTGAGATGCCTGGAATGGCCCATCTGTATGGTATCATCGAGATGGAATCATAGAGAGGACGGGTCAAGGCAGACGACAAGATCTACACAGCACTTCTTTTCTATTATTTGTCAGACTAGACCCCTGCTTAGCTGATAATGGCAGATCTTCCTTCTTCACTTCATTTTTCTATGGCAAATCCTTGATCTCATAACTGGAAAGTCCCTTTCCTAGCTTGAAGGCCATATATTCTTAGAGCTGGAAGGGAGCTCGATAACTCTTTTAATTCAAATCCCTGGCATTTTTGCAGATGAAAAAAATAAGACAGAGGTTATGCAATTTGGCGAAAGTTAGTCTGTAAGATACTCAACTCCCTGCCCCTGCTAGATCCCCCTTCAGAATGAGCAGCCTCTCTCCTCCTTGTATTTTATTTTTAACTTTTTTTTGGTCAGAAATCAAAGACTCTTCATTCACTTTATAAAAGTCATCTGACTCATTTGAGAGTAAAAAAGAGATGTTTTTCTCTGAAAACTTATTTTTGTTTTATTCTAAATGAGTTTTTGTTCTAACCCAGTGTGATTCCTGTCTATTCTGAGAGAGCTTTCATGGCACAGTATGACATCTCTCTAATGGCCAGTGTTGCCTAGTTGGACTTCAGTATAATGGTTACAGCAAAACCTATGTGCATCATCTCTAAATTCAGGAAAGAACAGATGCTAGAAACTGTGGTCAGCGTGTACTGCCTGGGCCTTTAGGGTGGGTGATGCTAGAAACTTCTTTAGAAGCAGCTATTTATTCAAATGAAATGTTTGAAAGGATCTTTGCTTTTTTTAAATGACAAATCTCATCCCTTTGCCCTAGGACCAAGCACCCCATGACTAGGGAGTGTCAATGGGACTTGGTTGCCACTGAAGGGAGGATGTGTGATGGGGTGGGTGATACCTGGAGCACTGGCCCAGTCAAGGGAAAGAATGAGAGTTTTAAAAATGAGTTGTGAGGAGGAAGAGGACAAGAACCATGTAGTGCTTACCATTTACTGGCTTGGATCTGGGGAAATGGATTTACCGGCAGCCTCTTTCCCAGGAATCACAATGACTACACAATTCTAGCTTTCTCTCCATACCTTCCCCCAGCAGAAAAGAATGGTTTCTGGTCTTGGACGTGTGGGAGGGGTGGTAAGTATTGCTCTAGTTCATCATGTTAACTATGTTCTGAGACTCTGCAGGCTTGGCTTAGAAAGCCAAAAGCCTTTGCTTTGCTTCTGCTGGAACCTGTTTTCTGTGAGGTAGTGGACACTGCAAGATCCTGTTTCTGAAAAGAAAAGGGTCTGGAGGATGAGCCCCGGGGGGAAACATCAATACTAGCTCGAAACAGAATCCCCTTACATTGTAAGAGCTCAGTTAGAGAAAAACAGGGTCTGTAGAGTGTGGTGTTCTCAATCTGAACCATTTCCAAGAGCTGCGAGAGAGCGCTGTTATCTGAGCTAAGCACATGGAATGATGAAAATTGCATCCTGGTGGATTTTCCCCAAGTCTTTGGAAGAAACATAAATCTCTTCTTGCTATTGAAAAGCTTAATGCTTTACTGAAATGATCATAGAATACTGGATCATTCTCATTTCTGTGGGGACTCAGATGTTTGTGCCGGGCGTCTCTGTCCCTTTGAGACACACCCTCCCCATTTTCCACACTCTTCTGGATCCAGGGAGACTAGTCTCCATGGGTCCCATCAATGGGCTCCCCTGGACTCTGGTTTCTATTTGGATTTGGCCAATGGGAGGCCCCTGCATCATCACCTCTTGGTGGTTCCCTTAACCCTGTTTGCAAATAATCCCCTGCTTTAAAGCTCCCATTTGAGTGTGTCGTCTTTTTTCTGCTGGGACCCGGTACAAGTTCATCATCTAATTCTGTATGTCCATTTTACAGATGAGGAAACTGAATCACAGAGAGGGCTGTGGCTTTCATGGTTGTGTCCCTTTCCTCCTTGTGTTCCCAGACATGGTTGGGTATTTCCAACCTGAGATCCTGAGTCCTAGAGTGCTGGATGGGAATTAGGAGACCTCTGGCACTCCCATCCTCTCTACTTCAATGTGACGGCACATGCCTAAGAAACTTCTATTTATCAAAAAACTGCATCCTTAAAAATGGCATTTTAATAGACAAAAAAGTAGGGAGAAGAGTCTTTGCTGAGAGGGCACTGTCATCCACTGGGCTAGCAAAAGGTCAGAAGGTGTCTCTTTCCTCACAGTGGAGGCACCTGGTGCCAGGGCTTGGCTAGAGGCCTGTGGGCTGATTGACCTCAACCTACCTCAGCCTAGTGCCCTGGGCTCCCACCTCCCCTTTTCACTGTGTAAGGAGGTGGAGTGTGTGGTCATGCCTCTGACCACAGGTGAGTCAATGAGAGAGAGAGAGAGAGAGAGAGAGAGAGAGAGAGAGAGAGAGAATGAATTTGTATTCTTCCTTTATTAACTTTCCTAAGTTTTCTGAAGAGTCCTTTTTGAACTCTCATATTTCTAAGACATAGTTTTTGTTTTTTTTTTTCTGTACATTTTAATACTCTGATACCGCAGGTGTGATGTGAAACCAAAAGCACCTTTTATTGTAATTGGTCAGGTGGTAGTTGCGTTGTAGTTGCAATGCCTGTGCATGTGTGAAGTTGGTAACTCCGGTCACCTGACCAGACAATGGAAACCTCTCTCGTTTCAGTCAGTGATCCACTGAATGACCATTTGAGGGAGGAATGTATGGCTTAGGTATTGCCTGAAATTTTCTGCTGACACCTTTTAGTAAGATTTACTTGCCAACATCAACACTTGTGGAAAGATGCCAGCAGCTTAGAAGAAAGTCCCAAATATGACACTTGAGTGTGCTTTTAAAAAAATGCCACATCACTAATGCTTTTTGTGGAACAGAGAACAATATTGTTCGGTTAATACTGTGGTTCTGAATGTGAATACATAAGCCAATTTATTTCACTTATATTGTTATATTTTCCTTTTTTATGGGCATCATAAAAATCCATGTATATGTCTAATAGAGCTCTTTTAATATGTATAAAATAAAAATTTTAAGGTTAGCATTGTATCACACTATAATGTGCTACCACTTCTTTCTTTATAATTGGTATATAAAATAGTATTGTTTCTATAATCAGTGAGTCCTAATTAATGAAATATGGTAGGAAGGTTATTAAATTATCAGCATGAATCAAAAGATGAGTTGGAAAGCTAAGGACTGAGGATGGCTCTATTAATTCTTTTGCTCAATAAATATTTATTAAATGTCTTCTGTGAGACCAGTCCTGGGCTAGGCATTGAGGATCCAGCTGTGAAAGACACAGATGTGATCTATGAACTTACAGGGAATAAAAGAAATACTGAAACACGTTAGTATATATGATGCTACAAAAGAAAAAGTGCAGTCTTCTTTGGGAGTGTCAATCAATGAGCTCAAGATGGTCAAGTGCAGCAGAGGCCCGACTGGAGAAGCGACACTTAAGTGGAGAATGGAAGAACACGGAGGGAGTTAATGAAGTGGAGGTGAGTGGGGAAGGAGAAAAGGTGGTCCTGGGTGAGGGAGCAGTATGTATGAATGCTGGGAGCTGGCAAGGGGCGAGGAGGAACTGCAGGAAGTCTGAAGTAGCTGGAGCTCAGGCAATGGTACAGAGATGAGAGATGAGGCTAGAGAACTAGGCAGATGTTAAATGATGAAGTGCCTTAGATGTCATGGCATGGAGTTCGGCTTTTATCCACAGGTAAGGAGAAAATTGTGGAAAGGGTTTCAGGCGAAGAGTGTTAGGCTTAAATATTAGAATGATCACTCTGATTCCTGTGCAGAACCAAGTGCTGTATATCCAAGATGAATCAAGCATGGTAGTAGTCATACTCACTTGATTAGAGGTATGGAAGTGGGATGAGCAGATAGCAAATGATACAAGGGAATCCTGGAGCAAGCAATAATCCCCATCACTGATTGCATTCTGCAGATAGTATATTCTGATTATAGAAACGATACTATTTTATATACCAATAATAAAGAAATAGCGGCATATTAAAGTGTGGTACAATACTAAGACTTAAAATTTTTATTTTAACATATTAAGAGAACCCTATTAGATGTATTTAAACTTTGTAATTACTTTTTCTTAGTTCCTGATAAGCTAAGACAGTAACTTCATTTTTGACAAGTGATTTCTTCTGACTTGAGCCTGCAGTGTGCTGTTAGAGATCCACTACCAGGTAAATATAGAACAAGTTTTTCTTAGGTTTATAAACAACACTTTATCTCAAGATTCTCTAAGACACACATAAACCTAATATTTGATTTAATCCTCATTTTAGCCCTCTGAGTCTTATTCCCATCTTATACATGAGGAAATTAAGGAACTGGTAACTTAACATTCATCACAGCATATAATAGTAAAATACTACAAAATGAAAGGAGAGAATATAAATTTCCAATGGTAGGCAAATTGCATTAAATTAATTATGGTACATTCATTTGATGCAAGTATTTTAAAAACATTCATTATCACCTTAATATGTTCTCTTCCATTCCTAGTTTGCTAAAAGTCTCTATCATAAATAGATGTTGAATTTTATTAAATGTTTTTCTATATCTACTGAGATGATCAAATGATTTTATCCTTTCATCTGTTAATTTTAGTTTGCATGAATGGATTTTCTAATGTTAACCTACCTTGCATTGCTGAGATAAAACCAACTTTGTAATGATGTGTTATCTTTTCTATACTTAGCTAGATTTAATTTGCTAAGCTTTAGTCATAAGTGAGATTGGCTCAAAAATTTTTTTCTGTGATTTTTTTTTTCAGGAATGCTTTTCAAAATAATTGAAATTACTTGCTACTTGAATGTATGGTGGAACTTGACAGTAACACAGTTTGGGCCAGATGTTTTCTTTGAGAAAAGAAGTTTTACTAACTGATGTAGTTTCTGACTTATTTAGGTTTTCTATTTCTTCTTGAGTCAGTTTTGTTACAGTTTCAGTTACATGTACATGTTTTTGTTGAATATATATGCAGGAGGGGAATTTCTGGATCATAAGGCAGGCATATGTTCAGTAGATACTATCAAACCATTTTCCAAAATGATTGTATCGGTTTAAAAATTTATACTCCAGGAGTGTATGAGGGTTCTAATTAGTTCACATATTTTCCAAAACTAGGCGTTTTCCGTTTTTGTTTGTTTGTTTTAGTTAAGCTTTTCTGGTGGGTATGTAGTAATATCATATTGTTTAAATTTGCATCTCCCTATAGACTAATGAGGTTAGGCACCACTTTGTATGTTGACCATTTGGGTATCTTGTTTTGTGAGAAGCCCCTTCGGGTCTTAAAAATGTGAAAAAAAATTGTGTTGTTTTAAAAATTAAATTACCTTTCTTACTGAGTTGTAGGCATTTTAAATAATATATATTTTAGTTATATCCTTGGTAGGAAATATGTGTTACAAATAGCTTCTCTTTTTCCGTGGTTTACCTTTTTACTCTTTTTTTAGGAACAGAAATTTATTGTTCTATGAATTTCATATATTACTTTACCTTTACATTTCTATCTATAATATATCTGGAATTGATTTCATTGAACATGGTGTGAAGTACACCATGTAAAGTGTTAATTTTTTTTATGTGAAGATTCAGTTGATTAAGCACCATTCTTTTGCCATGGCACTATGTATCTATTTTGATTAGGATTACTGAGGGATGATGAACACATAGTAAAATTCATTCTCTTAAAATAAATGGTTTGATAAATTTTGAACAATGTAATCATTGTTTTACCTCACAATCAAGAGGTAGAATGTATCTAACACCTGAAAGTGTGCACCTTTGTAGAAAATCTACTCCCTCTACCTCTAGCCTGTGACAACCACAAGCTGGATTTGTCTCTATGGTTTACCTTTTTTCCAGAATGTGTAAATGGCATCATATAGTATGCAGCCTTGGTTTCAGATTTTTTTCACTTGGCATATTGGTTTTTTTTGAGATCCATTCATGCTGTCATAAGTATCAGTGGCTTATTCCTTTTATTATTGAGTAGAAGAATTCCATGGAATAATATACCACAAGTTTATCCATTTACCAAATGAGGAACATTTGGGTTGTTTACCATATTTAGCTACTAGGAATACAGCTGCTACAAACATTCATAAAGAGGCCTTTGTGTGAACATACGTTTTCCTTTCTCTTGGGTAAATTACTAGGAGTGGGATTATTGTATCATATGGAAAGTATAGCAAGTATATGTTAAACATTATTCTAAAATATCCCCAAACTGTTTCCAAAATGACTGTGCCATTTTACATTCTAATCAGCAATATATGAATGTTTTAGTTGCTCCATAGCTTATCTAGCACTTGGTATTATCACTCTTTGTAATTTTAACAATTGGAGTATATAGTATTATCTCATCATGGCTTTAATTCTCATTTCCCTAATGATATTGTGCTACTTTGCCATCTGCAAATCTTCTTTGGTGAAGTGTCTCTTCAAATCATTCATCCATTTAAAAGATAATTTGTCTTAATGGTATGTAACTACTTGGAATATATTCTGGATACAAATGCTTTATTAAATATGTGCTTTGCAAATAGCTTTTCTCAGTTTCTAGTTTTTTTTTTTAAGTTCTAAAAGTATTTAAAGAGTAGAAAGTTTTTCATTTTGGTGAATTTCAATTTATCAATTTTTAAAAATGGAAGAGTAGTTTTAAGTACTATTTAGGAAATCTTTGCTAAAACGAATGATGCAAAGATTTTCCTAGAAATTTTAAAGCTTTAAGCTTTATATTTAGTTATGTGATCCATTTTCAGGCAATTTTTATGTCTTTTGTGAGGTCAGGATAAAGAATAACTTTTTATATGGATGTCCAAATTTTCCAGCACCACATATTGAAAAAATTACCCTTCTCCCATTTTAATTACTTTACATCTCTATCTTTGTCTCCCCTCTTTGCTACTCTAATTATATGCATATTGGACAATTCCATACTGTTTGACAACTCTTGCATGATCTTTTTGTTAATAAATATTCTTTCTCTTTGGATTTCAGTTTGGATAATTTCTATTAGTCTATCTTTAAGTATATTTGTTTTCTATAGCTTCCCTTTCTCATATAAGATTCTTCATCTTGTCTTGCATTTTCTCTCTCTTTTCCATGACAGCCTTTAGCATATTAATCATAGCTATTTTAAAGTCTCTGATTGTTCTAATATCTGGCCATCTCTCTTTCTAGCTCTGCTGATTGCTTTATCTTGACAATGAGTTAAGGTTTTTTTGCTTTTTTGAGTGTCTTGTAATTTTGATTGCATGTGGGACAGTGTTTGTAGGAGAGCAGTGGATAACAAAGTAAATGATATTGCTATTGTACCCAGATTGGATATACTTTTTCTTCTGTAAGATTGTTGGTATGAAGGTTGAATCAATCTTGTTAGTCATTAACAAGACTGGTAGTTAGTATTGAGTTTGGGTGGAGTTCAGTTTGTGATTGCTGTAGTTACTTTCAGTGTACTAGACTCTAAAGTTCTCTAGTGGTTGACTGCAGTGACCTTATGCTTGGCTTGCCAGAGGGTTTTCTCCATGTCTAAGCTCCACCCTTAGCTTTCAGCAGACTTTTCACCCTTGCTTTACAAAGGTGACCTCTCTCTCCATGTTTGTGCTCTTTTCCTAGCAGTAGATTGCTCTGGTTCATTGTGCTGGGCAGAGCTGTGGAGGTGGTGGTGAGTTCTCAGTTCACGTGGATCAGCCCCAGTCTTAGGTAGGCCTTTTGTTTCTGGGCCTTGGGACTGCAGCTTTGTTAGTGTTCCTGCTCTTCTTCAAGGCAGCCAAGCTTTGCCTTGTATCTGTGGAGTGTTTTGTGTGGGAGAGAGTTTCTTGCCCTTCCTTCAATGGTAACAGACCTTTTGTTTGTGTTAGTGCAGGATCCTGGACCTGCAAGTTTCTTTTCCTTCCCTTAGGGCAGATGGCAGGCTTTTGCTTGTACCCCTTCCCAAGAATCAGTGGATCTTTGCTTGGGCCTTGGGGCTAGGAAGGTGTTTTGCTTCTCTACCAGTTGTTGAAAGCTTTTGCTTAATGTGAAATGAAGTTTGGGAAGTGGATGGAATTTCCTGCCTGTGCTCTACTAAAAGGAGAACTCCCCAATCTCCAGCCCTACCCTTTTTCTTTTAAATGAGCATTCATTGCAGAGTCCTGGCAAAAAGCTTGAGGGAGACCTGGGGCTCATCTCATGTTTCTGAGGCTCCCAGTGATACCGTCATACTAGCCCACACTTGCCCTTTAGAAATTCATTAACATTTTAGCTGTTTTCTTATTCCTGTGTTCATGATGGCTGCCTCTTCCTACTGTGCCCTGCCAAAGGGGACAGTGTGTGTGACCCCTTCCACCTTGGAAGGACATGTCACTCTTGGTAAACTTAGTTCACTTGGTTGCCTTGTGTCCTTAGCTCTCTAATGGGCTCAATACAAGCATGATTTTGTTGATGGTGAAGCTTTTCTTGTTGTTAGGATGAGAGTGATGTTCTCCCTGGTTTTCTGTATCTTACTTGGTTGTAGAACTGTGTTGCAACTTTTTAAGAGTCACTGGTTTGAATAAAAATTTTGGTTGTAAATACAGTTGCCATTCAAAAATGAATGGAAACTGAATCAAAAGAAGGCAATAAAACTACAGTCTAAAACTTAATAGGAAAATTGAGAGGACTTAAATTTTATTCTTTTCTTGGGTTGGCTGTGTTTGGCAGTTTTCTTTGTTCCTTCTCAGGAAATACATGGCTACAATGGCAGGAATATCGCAATAGAATAGCTTTATTCTGAGGTCTGTGGTAAAGGAGAGGAAGATTGGCTTCTCCCTGCCATAAATACCTTCAAGACAGGGTGATGAGAAAGGGAGAAAAATGAAAAAAATCCAAAAATGAGACAGTAGAATGGGCATTCTGGGGAAGTTTACAGATTCTCAGAAGAGGGGTATACAATTAAAGATCCTAAAGAAGGACTGCTGATGTCTATGGGGTCAAGAAGTGCATCATTCTAATTCCAGAACTTACTGATATCCTAGCCATCTCGGGAGCATCACCTCAAGTTTCAGCTTCAATATATTAACCATCTACATCCCTGCTATTGCTATTCCAAGGGTGGTCCAGGGGCCAGCATCATCTGCACGCACTGAGATCTTGTTAGAAATGGAAAATCACAGGTTCCATCTCAGACCTGATGAATCAGAATCTGCATTGCAACAAGATCCCTGAATGATTCTTGTGAACTAGAATGTTTAGGATGTGTACTAGATGTGGTGTTTTACATAATCATGGTTTCTATGTTTTTTGTAGTCAACTTCGTATTTGAGATTAAAATCTCTCAAAGTCAAAATGTTGTGAAGGTAACTCTACTGTAAGAATAATCTGGGGGTATAGTGCACAGAATTAAGGCATTTAAATGCATTTCTAGTTAAATTATCAGTTTAATTAATTATTGATACACTTATTTAAAACTTATTATTTTTCAACATTGTTTTTGAGGTTTGTGGTCCTAGCATTTAAAAACGTTAACTCTTTTTTGTAGCAGGGATTTTTCTGGTGCTTTCTCTCATAAAGAGGTTTTTTTTCCTTTTTTAGACCTATTGCTATGATCCAAACATTTTTATAACCCCCAGAATTCATATGTTGAAACCCAACCCCTAAAGAGATGGTTTTAAGAGGTGAGAGTCTTTGGGAGGTAATTAGATTATGAAAATGGAGCCCTCATGAATGGAATTAATGCCATAATAAAAGAAACTGGTGGGAATTTTGCCCCTTCCATCATCTGAAGATATAGCAAGAAGGTACCATCTATAAATCAGGAAGAGGACCCTCACCAGATGGTGAATCTGCGGGCACTTGAATCTGAGACTTTCCAGCCTCCAGAGCTGTGAGCAGTAAATGTTGCTTATAAGCCACAAAATCTATGGTATTTTATTATAGCAGCCCAAATGGACAGAGACCCCCATGAAGCCTGCTTCCTAGGGCAATCCTGTCCTCTCCATATTGGTTTTAACTTAAGAAGCAGGTTCCTGCATAAAGTTGGTATTGATGCTTCAAAAACCTGGCCCACAGGGTTGTAGCAAGGACCTGTTCCTCTGACAAGGTTCTTGCCAAGAGCTCTCAACTTTTTAATCTTCCCAACTTTGAGTATCTTGTTATTCAGCGAAAGGGGTGTGCTGCCAAAATTCTAGTTTTTTCAACTCTTGGTAAAGGTTAATTTTACATTTATCCAAATTCTTAAGCTGTTCTCTTTCCTTTAATTCCATAGAAAATGCTAGCTGTGATTTCTTGATTATAGCACCTGCTTTTCTTTTGCCTTTCCTTTTGTTTTTGGACTCAAGTATTTTAAGCTCATTCCTTTCCCTGCTTAGGAAGAGGCATGAAGTCAAAACATTCTGGCAACATCATTAATTTTTTTAACTTATCTTGTTCAGTTTGGGACCGTTACCTATGTGTTCTAAGCAGGGAGCCAGAGGAGGGCACAAGACCGTGCCACCCCGTGGAGTCAGCCCAGGTAAAGAACTGTTCTGGTTGCCCTGGTCAGTGAATTCTGCCATAGTCTCAATGATCACCCTTAGCTTCAAAGGAGGCTGAGAAATGTATCTTGAAGTTGGGCATGTTCTTTCTGCAAAAGCAACTGTGGTTTGGCTTGCTATGGATGGAGAACTAAATGCAGACATCAGACCAACGGGGAGCTAAGTATTAGTAGTAGGACCAGTGCTGCTATATTGGAGAATGAGCTTAAATTATAAACAGATTCATCTATAATGAAGCCTCCTATTACTTTGATTGCTAAAATCTTTCATGGAAAAGAGAAATACATGCTGCTGAGATCACAGGGATGTACGTAGCCCACCATGCACTTACCCACTCTCAGTCTCAGCAATTCAGTTCACTCTCTTGAGGAAGCATGGAGGGATATAGTGAGGTGGAAGAACCATCTTCTAGTAGTTTCAAGAAGATAAACAGTTTTGTGTGCCCAGGGAGGAATGCTGAAAAGTAGAGAATGCTTTTTCTTCTAACAGTTATGTATTTATATGTGTGGTGGTATGTATACGTGTGTGTGTGTGTGTGTGTGTGTGTGTGTGAGAGAGAGAGAGAGAGAGCGAGAGTGCAGGCATATGTGTGTATGTATAAAAACACCTGACTTTTACATTATTACATATTGTGGCAACTGTGTTATATTAGCTGCTTTGTATGTTTTTTCAACTCCTGCTATTAATGACCTCGCAGTGTGGTGATCTACCGTGGAAGCTGAGAAAAGGGAAAATTCATGTGTGTTTTGCAGTCGTGAAGCCCTTTTAAAGGAGATGGGCATGAACTGCTTATAGATCTTAAAGAATGAGTAGACTTGTTTCAGGTAAAGAAAAAGGGTGACTCAGGGTAAAGAAACAGCAAGGAGCACAGCCACTAGGCCTTCAGCTGCTTCAGAAGCTCACTGCAAGATTCACCATCAGAACCATCTGCACTGCTTCACAAGAAACAAACCAAGCACATGCAGATGACGGGGCAGTAGCTCCTGTGATTACACATCCTGCTACTCCCCACACTAGAGGGTTTGAGGCAGGTGCTCTTCGTGTGTAGCAGGCTGTGGCCTCTCCTTGTGTCCTTGTCATCTTCGACTCCTGAGGTAATGCTGATTTGAAAATGCTTAGCAACTAGCCCGGCTCCCTACCCGAGGCTCAGCCCAGGAGTTGGAGTTGACAGCTAATTGTCGCCACTGATTGCTTTGCTGACAGTGCTCTGTGGCTATTTTGGTTTTTCTTGAGAGTTCCTTAATTAGAGAAAATGACATCGTGTGCTGTCCAATCAGTAGCTTGTTAGATATTATTACATTTGTAGGAGAATCAGGCAACGTTCGGGCTTGTTCCTGCCAAGCTGGTATTAGGCTCATGACCTGCAGCACAGTTTGCTTGGCAAAACAGCAGTGCCCACACAGCTGAGACTAGTTTGTCACTGACTCAAGGGAAGAGCATTCTGCATTCCCAGTGTGGACTCAAAGTACCAGGACTCCCTCGGGGCAATGTAGCTTTGCCCATTGAAACTTCACACCTCACAGTAGCCATTACCTTGACTTTCTTCTCTCTGAAGTGAGATATTTCAGGATTCCTTTGATATTTGCCTTTCTGACTGACATGGAAAGACCCTTTTGTTTTTCCATGGGAGAGATACAAATATGACCTGAAGATGAGTTTCCATTTGGTCAAACTTTAAATGTGGTTTCTCATACAGTATAGTAAGAGCTCAGTATACTGCTTTACCTAACAGGAAGGATGATCTTAAATTAGAAAATATTTTGAGTTATAAAATAAGTGAAGAGTTTTACAACTCTAAAATCCACAGAATAACTTTTACAAGCTGATTTTTAGGTGTAGTCTCTTCTGAGGCTATGTTTTGGAATTATTTTGGAATAGCACATACCTACTTTATTTATTTACACATAAACTAGGAAGGAAAGTTTGATATGTAAGATTGTGAAATGAGTACGAACCCTATTAGTTCCTTATTTCTGGCATTAATTCATTGCATCAAAGATATATTGAGCCTTCAGGGGGTACCCTGGGGCTTAACAAAGAAGTATGAGACACAGTTTCTGTCCTCAAGAAACTTATATCCTAACTGGGAAGTTAACATTCTTAAATGAGACCTCATGATTTCCTTGAAGGGATCCATAAGGTTGCATAGCTTTTCTCCTGGAGTTATCAGTGATGGAACAGAGAGTAAAGAGTGCAGGACTGATCCAGGGTTGAAAAGATAAGAGGATAAGAATATTGAGGATCTATGGAGTGTTCATAAGCTTCACAGATTGGGCACAGAAAGGAGGAATACCAAGGTGTATCTGTGTCTGCGTCGGCGGAGTAGGGGTTGAACAAAAAGATAGAGAAAGTGGTTAACGCATATGGTGGATGGGTAGAAGCTGAAGAGGACGCCATACGGTCAAGAGAGAAATGGAGAGTGGGTAAGGGTCAAGAGAGATCAAACAATGTCTCTTGTCCATGTTTCCTGTGGGTCTATCTTTGCCTTCTCAAACACATGGTAAAAAAGGGACCAGACATGACATTTCTCTTGTGTATTTTTCCCTGAAGAAAAATTCACGGCTCATTCATGGGATCTGTGAAGATCATTTGGTTGAAATTATCAACTTTCTTGTACATATATAGAAATGATTAAGATGCTCATTTGTTTGTGTGTATGGTGACCTCCAAAGTGTTTCCTGATGCAATCTTATATGGTATAAACACGCATACACAATGATGACGAAGAGAAAGTCCCCATCACCTGATAATTGTTCATTACTTTCAAGTAAAGGGAAATTATTATCTCTAGAGGATGTCAGAGAGACCCACACGCTGGAGGTGATTTGTCTTACCAGCAAGGCCAGAATTTCTGTTCCTTCCCACAGGCTGACAGCTCTCCTTTTACTCTTCCTGGGTTTTCAGGCTAAGTGCATTTGAAGGCCCCGTAAACAACATAAACTTCTTTCTGATCCTGTTACTGTTTCCCTGCTCAACACTCAGCTTATTCTCATGTTTATATTTAACCAGTGTAATCCTCGCGAAAGACTTTTACAGTTGAAGTCACAGCAAAAACTAGAGAATAAAATTTTGATTAAAAAACTAAATTTAAAAAGCTCAGACTTTATGATGTCAGAATTACTCTGTATTCTTGGATAGTGTATAATTGCTGGTCCCTGGGCGCCACACCTGTTGGAGGTAGCAACTATTTGGGGCCAGTGGCAAGGGTGGTAAAGGTATTTACCAAGACAGTTGTAGGTTAAAAAAAAAAAGGCAGATTTATTAGAGAAAGTATGAAAATAAATCGCAAGGATGCAATGGGCAGCATGCAGAGAAGGGAGTGTCTACAAAGAGGCAGAGGTTGGAGGGAAGTTTTATAGCATCTTCATTAGCTGTTTCTCAGAAAAATTGGTCAATGCTCTCCTCACAGTGGGGCCCTCCCCAGTGTGGGGTCCCTTCCTCATCAATGCTTACTTACCTCATCAGGACTCCACAACACTCACTGTAAGTCCCTTGCTATAATGTCTAATATTCATCTTGGCTGTCCAAGTGCTGCCCAGTACCGTCGGACACACTGGAGCCTTACAGTTGTCTGTGCCTCTGAAGGGAATGTGTCTCATGTCCAGCTCAAACATACCAGCAGTGCCTATTATAAGAGCTTCATTTCTCAGGTAGCATTTTAAAATTCCTTAAGCTATATCCCAGACATGAAAGACTTGACCTGAATCATGTGGTTACCATGGCATCTAAAGAGAACCTTTAGAAGCGTATCGATTTTTCCAGACAGAAAGATGGTAAATTGCTCCAATAGAACATTTTCTACCTTGCAGGCTGAGAATAAAAACTATATTTATCTGAAATAGCAAATCTGATCTTCAAAACTTCTCTCAAGCATTATCCTTTATGGGCTATTTGCTGAAAACTGCTTACCAGTTTTTATGCTCCAGCACTGACTTGTAGCAGCTTTTCTTTCATCTCTGACCTGGAAGCTTCTTTTCAAATAAAATAAAAATATGAAGGACCCCAACTAAGAAATCCCTTCAAATTTCAGAGAAGAGTCTAACTACCCTTATTCAGGGAGACTGAAGCAAAAATAAGTCTACCCTTAACAAAACGGCAGATCCACCTTCTGCACAGGCAACCCCTCCCCTTCTGACACACTGCTTGGATGTTAAGCTAATTTTCAGTAATTGCTAACTCTAAAGCAACAGAGCTTAAGTCTTTGAAAGGACTCGTTTTCATACAATCTTATTATCTGAAATTTGTGCTTAATAGAAAGGTCATTTGACCACCAGCTTTTTGCCTTAGAGTTAGTAGGCAGGGACTAAGCCGTTAATTTCTATTGCTTGACATTTCTATAACACTTGGCAGTATTCAAAACACTTTTATATCTGTTGTTATTTGAGCCACAATACAGTAACAATGCCGTGAGGCAGAGACAGATATTTTTTTAAATTACCCCCTTCACTTTTTTTCTGGATTCGGGGAATTAGCAGGCACCAGGGATTGGAACTGTGCTACCATAGTAGGGTGGTCCATCTTCTCTGAGTATCACTGGAATTTCTTTTTTTTTTAATTGCATTTTAGGTTTTGGGGTACATATGCAGAACGTGCAAGATAGTTGCATAGGTACACATGTGGCAGTGTGATTTGCTGCCTTCCTCCCCTTCACCCACATCTGGCATTTCTCCCCATGCTATTCCTCCCCAACTTGCCCCTACTGCTGTCCCTCCCCTATTCCCCCCAGTAGACCCCAGTGTGTAGTGCTCCCCTCCCTGTGTCCATGTGTTCTCATTGTTCATCACCCACCTATGAGTGAGAACATGAGGTGTTTGATTTTCTATTCTTGTGTCAGTTTGCTGAGAATGATGGTTTCCAGATTCATCCATGCCCCTGCAAAGGACATGAACTCATCATTTTTGATTGCTGCATAATATTCCATGTTGTATATATGCCACGTTTTCCCAGTCCAGTCTATCATCAATGGGCGTTTTGGTTGGTTCCAGGTCTTTGCTATTGTAAACAGTGCTGCAATGAACATTCGTATGCATGTGTCCTTATAGTAGAATGATTTATAGTCCTTTGGATATATACCCAGTAGTGGGATTGCTGGGTCAAATGGAATTTCTATTTCTAGGTCCTTGAGGAATCACCACACTGTCTTCCACAATGGTTGAACTAATTTATACTCCCACCAACAGTGTAAAAGTGTTCCTATTTCTCCACATCCTCTCCAGCATCTGTTGTCTCCAGATTTTTTGATGATCGCCATTCTAACTGGTGTGAGATGGTATCTCAATGTGGTTTTGATTTGCATTTCTCTGATGACCAGTGATGATGAGCATTTTTTCATACGTTTGTTGGCCTCATGTATGTCTTCTTTTGTAAAGTGTCTGTTCATATCCTTTGCCCACTTTCGAATGGGCTTGTTTGTTTTTTTTTCTTGTAAATCTGTTTGAGTTCTTTGTAAATTCTGGATATCAGCCCTTTGTCAGATGGGTAAACTGCAACAATTTTTTTCCCAATCTGTTGGTTGCTGATTCACCCTAATGACTGTTTCTTTTGCCGTGCAGAAGCTGTGGAGTTTGATTAGGTCCCATTTGTCTATTTTGGCTTTTGTTGCCAATGCTTTTGGTGTTTTGGTCATGAAGTCCTTACCTACTCCTATGTCCTGAATGGTTTTGCCTAGATTTTCTTCTACGGTTTTTATGGTGCCGGGTCTTATGTTTAAGTCTTTAATCCATCTGGAGTTAATTTTAGTGTAAGGTGTCAGGAAGGGGTCCAGTTTCTGCTTTCTGCACATGGCTAGCCAGTTTTCCCAACATCATTTTTTAAACAGTTTTCCCAACATCATTTTTTCCCCATTGCTTGTTTTTGTCAGGTTTATCCAAGATTGTATGGTTGTAGATATGTTATGTTGCCTCCGATGCCTCTGTTCTGTTCCATTGGTCTATATCTCTGTTTTGGTACCAGTACCATGCTGTTTTGATTACTGTAAACTTGTAGTATAGTTTGAAGTCCAGTATTGTGATGCCTCCTGCTGTGTTCTTTTTGCTTAGAATTGACTTGGCTATGTGGGCTCTCTTTTGGTTCCATATGAAGTTTAAGGTGGTTTTTTCCAGTTCTGTGAAGAAGGTCATTGGTAGCTTGATGGGGATAACATTGAATCTGTAAATTACTTTGGGCAGTATGGCCATTTTCACTATATTGGTTCTTCCTAACCATGAACATGGAATGTTTCTCCATCTGTTTGTGTCCTCTCTTATTTCATTGAGCAGTGGTTTGTAGTTTTCCTTGAAGAGGTCCCTTACATTCCTTGTGAGTTGTATTCCTAGGTATTTTATTCTCTTTGTAGCAATTGTGAATGGCAGTTCGTTCTTGATTTGGCTCTCTTTAAGTCTGCTATTGGTGTATAGGAATGCTTGTGATTTTTGCACATTGATTTTTTTATATCCTGAGACTTTGCTGAAGTTGCTTATCAGTTTCAGAAGTTTTTGGGCTGAGACGATGGGGTCTTCTAGATATACTATCATGTCGTCTGCAAATAGAGACAATTTGGCTTCCACCTTTCCTATTTGAATACCCTTTATTTCTTTTTCTTGCCTGATTGCTCTGGCTAGAACTTCCAGTACTATATTGAATAGAAGTGGTGAGAGAGGGCATCCTTGTCTAGTGCCAGATTTCAAAGGGAATGCTTCCAGTATTTGCCCATTCAGTATGATATTGGATGTTGGTTTGTCATAAATAGCTTTTATTATTTTGAGATATGTTCCATCAATACCAAGTTTATTGAGGGTTTTTAGCATAAAGTGCTGTTGAATTTTGTCAAATGCCTTCTCTGCATCAATTGAGATAATCATGTGGTTTTTGTTTTTGGTTCTGTTTATGTGGTGAATTACGTTTATAGACTTGCGTATGTTGAACCAGCCTTGCATCCCTGGGATGAATCCTACTTGATGGATACGCTTTTTGATGTGCGGTTGCAATCGGCTTGCCAGTATTTTATTGAAGATTTTTGCATCTATGTTCAGCATGGATATTGGCCTGAAGTTTTCTTTGCTTGTTGAGTCTCTGCCTGGTTTTGGTATTAGGATGATGTTGGTCTTGTAAAATGATTTGGGAAGGATTCCCTCTTTTTGGATTATTTGGAATAGTTTCAGGAGGAATGGTAACAGTTCCTCTTTGTGTGTCTGGTAGAATTTGGCTGTGAACCCATCTGGACCTGGGCTTTTTGTGTGTGGTAGGCTCTTAATTGCTGCCTCAACTTCCGATCTTGTTCTTGGTCTATTCATAGTTTTGACTTCTTCCTGGTTTAGGGTTGGGAGGACACAAGAGTCCAGGAATTTATCCATTTCTTCCAGGTTTACTAGTTTATGTGCATAGAGTTGTTTGTAATATTCTCTGATGATGGTTTGAATTTCTGTGGAATCTGTGGTAATTTCCCCTCTATCATGTTTTATTGCATGTATTTGGTTATTCTCTCTCTGGCTAGTGGTCTGTCTATTTTGTTGATCTTTTCAAAAAACCAGCTCTTGGATTTATTGATTTTTTGAAGGGTTTTTCGTGTCTCTATCTCCTTCAGTTCTGCTCTGATCTTAGTTATTTCTTGTCTTCTGCTAAGTTTTGAGTTATTTTGATCTTGGTCCTCTAGCTCTTTCAATTTTGATGATAGGGTGTCAATTTTGGATCTTTCCATTCTTCTCAGGTGGGCACTTATTGCTATATATTTTCCTCTAGAGACTGCTTTAAATGTGTCCCAGAGATTCTGGTATGTTGTGTCGTTGTTCTCATTGGTTTCAAAGAACTTCTTTATTTCTGCCTTCATTTCATTGTTTATCCAGTCAACATTCAAGAGCCAGTTGTTCAGTTTCCATGAAGCTGTGTGGTTCTGAGTTAGTTTCTGAATTCTGAGTTGTAACTTGATTGCACTGTGGTCTGAGAGACTGTTTGTTATGATTTCCATTCTTTTGCATTTGCTGAGGAGTGCTTTACTTCCAATTATGTGGTCAATTTTAGAGTAGGTGTGATGTGGTGCTGAGAAGAATGTATATCCTGTGGATTTGGGGTGGAGAGTTCTGTAAATGTCTATCAGGTTTGCTTGTTCCAGGTCTGAGTTCGAGTCCTGGATATCCTTGTTAATTTTCTGTCTGGTTGATCTGTCTAATATTGACAGTGGAGTGTTAAAGTCTCCCACTATTATTGTGTGGGAGTCTAAGTCTCTTTGTAAGTCATTAAGAACTTGCCTTATGTATTTGGGTGCTCCTGTATTGGGTCCATATATATTTAGGATCGTTAGCTCTTCTTGTTGTATCGATCCTTTTACCATTATGTAATGGCCTTCTTTGTCTCTTTGGATCTTTGTTGCTTTATAGTCTATTTCATCAGAGATGAGAATTGCAACTCCTGCTTTCTTTTGCTCTCCATTTGCTTGGTAAATCTTTCTCCATCCCTTTATTTTGAGCCTTTGTGTATCCTTGCATGTGAGATGGGTTTCCTGGATACAGCATTCTGATGGATTTTGGCTTTTTATCCAATTTGCCAGTCTGTGTCTTTTGATTGGTGCATTTAGCCCATTTACATTTAGGGTTAATATTGTTATGTGTGAATTTGATACTGCCATTTCGATTCTAGCTGGCTGTTTAGCTCGTTAGTTGATGCAGATTTTTCATTTTGTTGATGCTCTTTAGCATTTGGTATGTTTTTGGAGTGGCTGGTACTGGTTTACCTTTCTATGTGTAGAGCCTCTTTCAGGAGCTCTTGTAAAGCAGGCCTGGTGGTGACAAACTCTCTGAGTACTTGCTTGTTCGCAAAGGATTTCATTTTTCCTTCACTTATGAAGCTTAGTTTGGCTGGATATGAAATTCTTGGTGGAAAGTTCTTTCTTTAAAGATGTTGAATATTTGCCCCTACTCTCTTCTGGCTTGTAGAGTTTCTGCCAAGATATCTGCTGTGAGTCTGATGGGCTTCCCTTTGTAGGTAACCTGACCTTTCTCTCTGGCTGCCCGTAGCATTTTCATCTTCATTTCAATCCTGGTGAATCTGATGAGTATGTGCCTTGGGGTTGCTCTTCTTGAGCAATATCTTTGTGGTGTTCTCTGTATTTCCTGGATTTGAATATTGGCCTGCCTTGCTATGTTGGGGAAATTTTCCTGGATAATATCCTGAAGAGTGTTTTCCAGCTGGGATTTGTTCTCTTCTTCACCTATCATATGTAGGTTAGGTCTCTTCACATAGTCCCACATTTCTTGGTTACTTTGTTCCTTCCTTTTTGTGCTTTTTTCTCTAATCTTGCATTCTCCTTTGATTTCGTTGAGTTGATCTTCAATCTCTGATATCCTTTCTTCTGCTCAGTCAATTCAGCTATTGAAACTTGTGCATGCTTCACGAAGTTCTCGTGTTGTGCTTTTCAGCTCCATCAATTCACTCATATTCCCCTCTAAGTTGTCCATTCTTGTTATCATTTCATCAAATCTTTTTTCAAGGTTCTTAGTTTCTTTGCGTTGAGTTAGAACGTGTTCTTTTAGCTCACGGAAGTTTCTCATTACCCACCTTCTAACGTCTGATTCTGTCATTTTATCACACTCATTCTCCATCCAGCTTTGTTTCTCTGCTGGTGAGGAGTTGTGATCCCTTCTAGGAGGTGAGAAGTTCTGGTTTCAGGTGTTTTCCTCCTTTTTGCGCTTGCTTCTTCCCATCTTTGTGGGTTTATCCACCTGTCGTCTGTGTAGTTGGTGATTTTCAGATTGGGTCTCTGAGTGGATGTCTTGATTGTTGATGATGAAGTTATTTCTATTTCTTAGTTTTCCTTCTACCAGTCAGGCCCCTCTGCTGTAGGACTGCTGACGTCCACTCTAGGCCCTGCTTGCCTGGGGGTCACCTGCAGCAGCTGCAGAACAGTAAGGGTTGCTGCCAGTTTTTTCTTCTGCTATCTTTGTCCCAGAATGATGCCTGCCAAATGTCAGTCTGATCAGTCCTTTATGAGGTGACTTTTGGATATACGGGGGTCAGGGAGCTGCTTGAGGAGACAGTCTGTTCTTTATAGGAGCTCAATTGCTGAGCTGTGAGCTCTATTGTTCATTCAGAGCTGCTAGGAAGGTATGTTTAAGTCTGCTGCAGCAGAACTCATAAACCCCCTTTTTTTCCCCAGGTGCTCTGTCCTGGGGGTTTAGGGCTTTATTTATGGTATCCGTTGTGTTGCTGCTTTTTTTTTTTCCAGTTGTTCTGCCCAGCAAGGGGGCAGCCTAGTCACTGCCTGTAGAGGTTTTGCTGAGCCTCTGCTGTGGGTTCTGCCCTGCTGCTGGCTCTGCCCTGCTGCCATGTGTATTTCCCTGCAGTCCTGTTTATGTGGGTGTGGTTAGAACTGCCACGGCAATGTTGGCCCACCTCTGCAATGGTGGGCTCTCTCTGTTATGACAAATTGCCTCTGCAACTGCAGGATGCATCAGCAATGGCAGACTACCTCCCTAGGGGTGGAGTACCTCAGTAATGGCGGATGCCCCTCCCCCACAGAGCTGGGCTGTCCCGGTTTTAGCTGTGCTTGCCGTGAAACTCTCAACCCCGAGCATTTCCAATTGCTGTTTGTTTGTTTTTGTGGGCATGGGACCCACCGAGCCTGATCACCTGGCTCCCTGCCTCAGAGCCCTTTTTTCTTAAGTTGAATGGTTGACTCTCTCCCAGGTGTTCCAGTCGCCTGCTGAAAGGGCACCAGGATCTGTGTGATTTCCCGTGCGGTGACCCACTGCACCCGCTGAAACAATGTGGCTTCCCGGGAATCTCCTGGGCTGCTATATGTTTCAGTCCCCTTTAATCAGATGAATGGGCTAATCTGCCTTCCCGGATCTCGAATTGCCAGTTTAACAGGGCAATCAGACCAGTGTATTTTGTATGGAGTCAGCGGCGCTGGCTGAAACAGCCATGCCTTATCGCTGGAATTTCTAATCGCGATGGTCGTCCCCTCCCTAGAGGAGCTGGACTCCCTCAGGTAGAGAGACCTGCAGAACTTAGCCAAGGGTCTGGGTCTCTGGGCAAAACCTGAGGGCAGACAAGTTGTTAAAAGCCTTGAAAGGCCACAGTAATTGTGAGAAAAGAAAAGGAAATGAGAATCAGGATGAAAGTCAAAATTATGCATAAGACAAAGATACAGATCAGCAGCCAGGAAGAAGCTGAGAGAGCCAATTGGCCATGCCACCAAAACAAGGAGAAGGCGCAAGACTGTCCATGTGGACCCTGACTCCCAGCACGATCATTCAGAGATAAAAATAGGTGATCCCACAGAATTCCAGAATCATGAAAAGCAGGAAAGCCAGGATCTCAGAGCTACTGCAAAAGTTTCTTCTCCAGATGAGCACCAAGGAGAATGCTGTTTCTTCAGGAAAACTTTGAATAAATGGTAACAAAGATTCAAAGATACCTTCAGAAAGAAAGAAATCTCTCTATACAGATTAAGTTACCCAAACCTGGAAAAAATAAAAGAACTGCAATCACCACTCCAAACTTTAAGAAGCTTCATGAAGCTCATTTTAAGGAAATGGAGTCCATTGATCAATATATTAAGAGGAAAAAGAAACATTTTGAAGAACACAATTCCATGAGTGAACTGAAGCAGCAGCCCATCAATAAGGGAGGAGTCGTGACTCCAGTACCGCCAAAAGGAAGACTCTCTGAGTTCTACTCCCGTCAGCCAATGACGCTTTCAAGGCCAGTCTTCTGGCCCTGCAAGTCAGAGTACCTTGGGTCTGAAAGGGTCACTCAAGGGCTCTGCTATCTCTGCAGCTGAAACAGGTGTCAGGTTTTCAGCTGCTACTAAAGATAATGAGCATAAGTGTCTACTGACCAAGACTCCAGCCAGAAGGTGCACATGTGACCATGTCTGGAAATACCCCAAAAGGTGAGGCTATGCCCGGGACACAAATAAAAGACCACCAAGAGGAATTCTGCTGCTATTACCCCATTCAAGTTGACAACTGAGGCAATGCTTGATCTTAAAGCAAGTTTGTCTCGTCCCCTCAACTATGAAGCACGCAAAGGAAAGCTAAAACCATGGGGGGCAATCTAAAGAAAAGAATTGTCTGAATGGGCATGCCAACAGAATTAACTTCCACAAGGAAACTTAAAAAGAACCCCGTCTCCAGACAAAGGAAGAGCAACAGAAAAAACATGAGCAAGAACCAAAGGAGAAGAAAACAACGGTTTTGCGAGTGTGAAGGGGCCTCATTTTGGCTGAAGATTAGTAATTTTTAACATCTTGTAAATAATCCTGTATTAGATTAACGTCAAAGAACTGTGTCAGAAGGGGAGAGGCTGCCTGCGCAGAAAGGCAAAAATTGTGTGATTGCTCCTCCTCCTCGCATTTCTCCTACTGCCCTAGTCCCGCCTTGGCCATGAGGGAGATCGCGCTCACACAAACCGGACAGTGCGGGAACCAGATCGGCGCAGAGTTCTGGGAGGTGATCTCTGGTGAACATGGCATCGACTCTGCTGGAGCCTACCATGGGGACAGTGACCTGCAGCTGGAGCGCATCAATGTGTATAACTAGCTGCCAAAAGGTAAATGCTATTGTCTGGCAGAAGACTGCAGTTCTGTTCATACTAGAACCAGCAGGGGGAACTTGACATTAAAAATCTAGGACCAGAATCTCAGGATGGGTCTCATTAGAAAACTGAGTTGTACAGGGTTAGCAATTCATGAAAAACAAAAACCATCCCAAAGAATTTGAGCTTTGAGGTGATAACATCTTTTCAGAGGTCATAGCACATGAAGTGCAGCCAGGGAAATGGAACCATGTTCACGGCCAGCTTCTGCAGGTCAGCATTCAGCTGGCCTGGAAAGTGCAGGCACCAGGTGATTCAGGTGACCGTAGGTGGGTGTGGTCAGTTTTAAGGTCCTGGAACAGATGTTATAGAGTGCTTCATTATCGACGCAGAACATCTCGCCTGCATTTTCTATGAGCTGGTGGAGGGAGCGGGTGGCATTGTAGGGCTCCACTACCGTGTCTGACACCTTGGGCGAGGGCGGGACGCTGAATGTGTTTATAATCCTGTCGATACTCCCCCCGAATTTTGCCCATGAGAAGGGTTACCCATCCCAGACCCTGTCCCCCCACCCAGGGAGTGGCTCAGCTGGAAACCCTGCAGGCAATCACAGCTGTCAGCCTCTTTTCTCACAACGTCCATCACTGACTCCATCAGCTCTGTGCCTTCTGTGTAGTACCATTGCCCCAGTTGTTCCTGGCTCCACACTGACCAAAGATGAAGTTGTCTGGTCTGAAGATCTGCCGAAAGGGCCCTGAGCGCACAGAGTCCATGGTGCCCGGCTCCAGATCCACGAGCATAGCGCGGGCCATATACCTGCCACCGCTGGCCTCCTTGCAGTACACATTGATGTGCTCCAGCTGCAGGTCACTGTCCCCGTGGTAGGCTCCAGCAGAGTCGATGCCATGTTCATCAGAGATCACCTCCCAGAACTTTGCGCCGATCTAGTTCCTGCACTGTCCGGTTTGTGTGAGCGTGATCTCCCTCATGGCCAAGGCAGGACTAGGGCAGTAGGAGAAATGCGAGGAGGAGGAGCAATCACACAATTTTTGCCTTTCTGAGCAGGCAGACTCTCCCCTTCTGACACAGTTCTTTGACGTTAATCTAATTTTCATTAATTGCTAACTCTAAAGCAACAGAGCTTAAATCTTTGAAAGGACTGCTTTTCATACAATCTTATTGTCTGAAATTTGTGCTTAATAGAAAGGTCATTGGACCACCAGCTTTTTGCCTTAGAGTTAGTAGGCAGGGACTGTCTAAATCGTTAATTTCTAGTGCTTGACATTTCTATAACACTTGGCAGTATTCAATACACTTTTATAACTGTTGTTATTTGAGCCACAATACAGTAACAGCGTCCTGAGGCAGAGAGACAGATACTTTTTAAAATTACCCCCTTCACTTTTTTTTTTTTTTAAATTAGGGGATTGAAGGTGTAAGAGAAGCAAAACTTTTCCTCTTCCCTTTTAGGTTTTTTTTTGTGTGTGTGTGGGGAGAGGGGTGGTGGCTGGGCCTGGGTATTACGATAAACAGGAAAAACCCAAATTTATTTAATACAAGTTTTGTGTGGCATGGGGGCCCTTAGAAGGAAATGAAGACCCAAAGAAGCTGTTAGAATCAGTTTCTTCTACACTGAATTGCACAAAGAGTAGTAAATTGTGAAGCGGTGTCAAGGCAAAGGGCCTTGGTTAGGGTAGTTAATTGGGTAAAGAAACTACTAGGAAAATATGGGTGAGTTTATCAAGGTTTGTTTGTACAGATTTTTCTCGGCCTCAACTTTTTTTCCTTGATGTTAAGAATGTTGCTTTCCTTCTGGTGCAGGGAGGACATTTTTCCACATGGAAATTTTATCTCCTACTTTTAAGAAACGGAAGGTCAGAGCGATCTTGCACGTGCTGCTTTTTTTTTTTTTCTGTCTTTAATTCAGAATAGAGAATATGCCAGAGCAGCATATTTTGGAGTGGCACATTCCTAATTATTTTAGAGTTTGTGTCTCCTAAAATCACTTCTTTCTAGGAGCAGACCTGGAACTAGCACCTGTTTCTGTCCCTAAGGGTTGCTCAGTCATGATGGGCCAAGTATGAGGATGGGAACAGAGAGCTCTGTTTGGGAATTGTCTACTTGCTTGTCTGTCTTCTTGATTTGACTTTCAGCTCCTTGAAGGAGGAGGTTCTTTTATTTATCGTTGGATCCTCAGTGACTAGAATATGGCCGGCACATAATAGGTGCTCAGTTAACATGGTTAAGAAACAAGTCATAATGATGTCAACATTTTCACCTCTGCCTATCCCACCTCTCACCCATGCCAAAGGCATAGAAAATGTTGAACGGAAGAATTGTATCTACAATAAATAGGCCAAAATATGGGCACAGACGGGGAAGCATAGGTTGTCAATTTGCCAGAAGCACTGGGTGAAGGACACTGAGCCGAGCTGTTGAAAAGCACAGAAGAAACTGAGAATCTAGCTCCTTTCTTCGGGGAGCTCAAAGTATACTCGGAGAAACAGAACACCTACCATGAAAACGATGAGGAAAGTCACTCTCAGTCTGTTTGGTTGGCCCTACCTTCTTGGAAACTCTTGGGGGAGGGTGTGGACATGCACTGCAAACAAACCTTAATCTCAGAGGGAGAAGGAACTGGAAGAACTCTACTCTCATTTTCTTTGGTTCTATAATTACCTGCAGCTACATACAAGTGTTTCTATGCATGAAACTAAATTCAGCAACTGGTCGACGGTTGAATCATTCTAATTAACTGGAATAGGTGAACTTTGACACAGCTTCATTTGGCATTTTTCTTTAAATAGTCAAGTAGTCATGCCATAATTTAGCATCAGTAAACAATTGTTTCCATCCTCAGCCCTACCAGAACTAATATTTTCCAAGTCCTGTACAGCTGTACCTCTCAAGGTTCAGTCCTCAAGCCATGTACTTACGTATCAACCTGTGAAATTTGGATTCAGGGCACCTGAGAATCTGCTTCCTTTTCCCTTAGTAAACACTTTATTTTGGAATAATTTTATATTTACAGAAATATTGCAAATGTTGCAATAAATCTTGCAAATATACTACAAAGAGTTCCTGTATTTCCTTCATCCAGCTTTTTCTGTTAACTTCTTATAGACCAAAATAACTTGTCAAAATTAATAAATTAACATTGGTATAATAAATACGAACTAAGCTACAGACTATTCAGATTTCACCAATTTTTCCACTCCTTCCCTTTTTCTGTTTAATCCGGGCTATCACATTGTATTTAATCCTCGTATCTCCTTAGTGTCCTTGGATCTGTGATAGTTTTTTAGCCTTTCCTTGAATCTGCATTTTAATAAGCTCTCCCGGTGGTTCTTACACACTAGAAGTGAACACCATTGCTCTTCCAAAGCCACGGCACACCTCACAGGTGCTGAGAAGGGGGAACCTTCCCTGGCCTGAGTGGTGCTTTGTGCTCTTCATCCCAAGTCATGCCCATGTCATTGGGGGATCCGGCAGGACACATAAGGCATGCTCTGGAGAGAAGTTGACAAATGGAACACAGCACTATTTACAGAAGTGTAGACAGAAATAAGCGAAGAAATAAGGGTTGTTAAGGCAACCAGGAACTATTTACAGTGAAAAGCTTTGATTTAGTTTGGGAAGGGGGAAGAAGAGTTGGGGCCACCCAGTGGGAGCAGGAGTCAGAGATGTACCATTGGAGAACCAGCCTTTGCCAGAATCCCCGGGCTCTGAAGTATGGAGGAGTGAAGGAGGACAGACCCTGGACTTACCTCCTTTATCTTAGATCGCCTACTGTTGCCTCCTGTTGGTGGAACTCAACAAGAAGCAGAGGGCAGGGAATGGGCCATACTGTGCCTGTGCATAGAGGGGAGAGAAGGGCGGAGAATTGATGTGGAGACTAGATCCAGGGAGGAGTTGAAGTGACAAGAACCAGAATTGTTTTAAAGTAGAATGCAGTAGAGATAGCCTGGCTAGTTAATTGTGCCTGGATTAAAACTTGTGCTCTGTTTATTAATTTATAGCTACTATGTTATCAGGGATCCACTGCTTAACTTTTTTAAAAAGTGAGAGATCCAATAAAAACATGATGTGTAGCCTTCGAAACTATACAGTTGCAAATTCAACAAATATCCTTTTAGTGAGTTTATGATATGATGAAAAACCATAGCTTCCAGCTACATAAGTAAATATCCAAACTGAAGAAAAGAAGTACCATCTGAGATACAGTCTTAGAATTGATAATGGATTTTGAGAGTGACATATACTACCTTGTAAGGTTTGGATAAGACAGTGCTTTTTTTTTCTATTAACTCTCCAGTTTTTGAAAGGAGAGATGATTACCCTTTCTGCACTATAGTGAATCAAATTCTGAACTAAATGGAGAACTAAAGAAAAAGAGTCAGAAAATGTTTTTCAATTTTTTTTTTGTAATTGCAAAGGAATAGGCTTGAATAGAAAAGAGCTCATATTATTTTGTTTTTAGAGAATAATAGTCTACTTTTATTTAAAAAATTTTTCATATATATAGCTGCTTTTATTTCAGTAGATTTTTGGGGAACAGGTAGCGTTTGGTTACATGAATAAGTTCTTTGATGGTGATTTCTGAGATTTTGGCACACCCATCACCCAAGCAGTATACACTGTACCCAGCATGGAGTCTTTTATTCCCCCTCCTACCCTTTCACCCGAGTCCCCAAAGTCCATGGTATCATACCTTTGCACCGTCATAGCTTAGCTCTCACTTATGCATGAGAACGTATGATGTTTGATTTTCCATTTTTGAGTTACTTTACTTGGAATAATGGTCTCCAATTCCATCCAGGTTGCTGCAAATGCCATTATTTCATTCCTTCTTAATGGTTGAGTAGTATTCCATAGTATACATCTATATGTATTCACATATACATATATGTATATGTGTGGGTGTGTGTATATATATATATATATATATATATATATATATACACACACACACACCATATATACACACACCACAATTTCTTTATCCACTCATTGATTGGTGGACATTTGGGCTGATCCCATGTGTTTGCAATTGTGAAGCGTGCTGCTATAAACATGTGTGCTAGTGTCTTTTTTGTACAAGGACTTCTAAAGAGCTCATTATTCAAGCATCCATGGGACTTAAGTGGAATCACTAGTCTTTAGAGCTGGACTTTCTTGGGCATTTTTTTTTATGCTGAGTGTGAGTGGGTATGCTATTTTCCCCCTCATTTCAAACCAGGAGTTGAAGTTAGAAAAGAGGAATATTATCTATACTTAGCATTTTTTGTCATTAAGTTTGACATTAAATACACTGTTTGCTAAAAGAGAAGGCTAGTGGAAGTTCGTTTTACTCATGCATATTTTTCTTAGGTATGGGTCTTTTGTGTTTGCTCATTTTCAGCCAGGAAAGGGATACCTTTAACTTTATTTTAAAGAGTGGTTACACTGGGGTCTTGGCTGGAAACAGAATTTTCCTCTGCGGGGTTTGAATGAAGAGAATCTAATGAAGGGACTGTTGCAGACCCCTGGGGAGGATTATAGTGATGAATAGAGGGTGATCTGGCTCCCAAAAACCAGCAGCAGTGGGAAGCCATCACCATCCTTGGGTCCTGGAAACAAGAGGAGCAAATCGTGGAGTCTCATGAGGGTTGTAGTCATGGTGGAAGGGCCAGTGAGGAGACGCTGGAGCTGCGAAGGGACATGCTCATTGTGGGATACTGCAGTGAGGGGAAGACAGTAGGAAAAACAGCACCCCATCACACTCCTCCCCTTCGTCAAACCCAACAGAAGCCGGGGGGCATGGCAGTGTAGATGACATTGGGACAGTGAGAGGTGGAGTATGGCTGGAGGAAGTGTGGGGAGAGATGGGCAATACCAGCAAAATGGCCCATTGCAATTAAGCCCCCAAATTATTTCTTGTGACATTAGGTTTTCAGGAAATGAAAAGTAGACGCATTAAATTAACGAGTAATCATCCATTTTTTTTTAAAGGAGTCAGTTTTGTTTTAAAATGACTTGCTGCTCTCCTAGCCTGTTCTTAAGTTTTAGTGCATAAAGACCCGTTTCTCTGAGTTTTCTTAGCTTCACTATGTGGAGAGAAAGGTGTTGACCTTTAAGAATGTGGAGCCTGGCCTGGCCAACATGGTGAAACCCCGTCTCTACTAAAAATACAAAAGTTAGCTGGGCGTGGTGGCACACGCCTGTAATCCCAGCTACTCAGGAGGCTGAGGCAGGAGAATTGCTTGAACCTGGGAGGTGGAGGTTTCAGTGAGCCAATATCATGCCACTGCACTCCAACCTGGGCAACAGAGCAAGACTCCATCTCAAAAAAGAAAGGAAGAAAAAAGAATGTGGTGTCTGCATTTGACCTCAAGGAGCCTGGAGGGATGGCACAGCTGTTATTGGTTGCCCCAAATGGCATTTTCACAGTTAAAAATGGCTGTCATTACCTGAATCCTCTTATTGTCTTAATGAGTTATTTCTGTTGGAGCTAAATGTAATTACTAAATAATCATTTCCAGTTGTTCGTTGATTAGTTGTGCATAAATTATTTAATGAAAATAGACTTAGATGACCCAGTGGTAGGAAGACCAATTTCTGGGAAAAACATCCACTGTAGCCTCTCACACCCCCAGTTGTAGTTGATTGGAAAACAAAAGCAAAGCAACAAAATGATCTTAAATGCTCTTGGCGACTTTAACCAAACCTGGTCCCAGGATCATTTAAGAACTTGTGCTGCGCGGCTCACAGAAACAGAGCTGAAAACAGACCAGTTGCGGCAGTTTCAGTGGGGCGACCTGCAAATGTTTTCTTTAGCGGGGAGTTTTCAGTGAGCAATAAAACGGTATGCCCAGATTACATTCCTGGGAAAAGACATTCGTGTTTGATTTTCCTTTTCCCGGTGGACTACCTCTCTGAAGTGCTTGGCATCAAGTCTTCAAACACGATACAGTGAAAGCGTCTCAGTCTCTTATCTGCTGTGCTGTTTTCGTCTTCTTTAACCCTTTTCTTCCCCTATTTGTGATGGATTCTTGGGCAAAGCTACCTTCATCTGAAGGGCCCCAGAAAAAAAATAAATAGAAGCATGCTCTTGAAAAATTTTCTTTATGTATTTATATTGTTCATTCATTTACACTGTGTCCTTTGCGTCCTAGCCCGGAACAATGTCTGGCCTGGCTTCATCCTCAGTCATATTGGCTGCTCTCTCTATATCACAAAATGTTAAGTGAAAACGTCAAAAAGTGGTCATAAGCTATTTGCTTCAGTGGCTAATCGGCTTAATAAAGTTTGAGAGTCTTTGACTCTCAGAGCTTAAATGAGCTTAATTGAAATTTTGAGCAAAGCTTAAAAAGCCAGATTTCGCCATCATGCCTTGTGAAAGGAGTGTCATGACTTTGAATAGCTGGAATCTGTAAGCTGCTCATAGTTAGTGACTCTAAGTAGATACCGAGGCCTGTCTTGCTCTTGCTGATCTGACCTGTGCAGTGTTCCAGCCTGCAGGTAGGGTGAATGCAATGCCACGCTTGCTTGTGCTTTAACCTACGAACCTGAAGCCCGTGACAAGGGGGGTTAGCACTGATGTCAAGATAATCTCTGTCCTTTGCAGCTATTCTTGTCTGTGACGGGATTATTTTCCAAATCACTGTGGTTGTAACGTTGATGCCTCTTTAACTCTGTTGCCTGCCATAGTCCCTGGAGGTCAGTTAGTTGCCATGGTTGTCTCTTCTAGCTCTGAAAGATAGATCCATTTCCTTTTCCACTGTAAGTTTCATAGGCAAGGACCTTCTTTCTGTCCTGACTTACCGAGACAACCCCCAACAAGTCTGCCTGCTCCTAGCATTCTGTTCCTCTTGCCACAGTAGGCTTCTTAGACCTAGATCATATTTATTGGGATCTGCCTCTGCTTAAAAACTCTCAGCCATTTGTTACTTACAGAGTAAAATCCCTGTCAGTCACCAATGAAGACATTATTTTGTGAGCAACTGCTATGGGCAAGATCCAATGCTCGGTACCGTAGGAACCCAGATCATGTCCACTTGCTTATTCACCTTGTGTCCTCGATTAGTTTATAATTTCCTGTAGGCCAGGAATTGTACTTGATGTGTAGAAGTGCCCAGCAACAGGACTGGCTTTTCATCAGCATTCTTGATTACGTAGCTTCAGTTGATGATAGCTCATTAAGGTCTACAGCTTGGAAAATTATGTACATAGTCCTCTCAAGGCTGTTAGATGTGACTCCTAATGTTTTTGAAACTGTCTATTTAGAATTCTCTTCAGAACTCATAAGTTGTGAAAAGAGTCTTATTACTCCATCCTTTTGTTCAAGACACAATTTGCTGAATGCCTGCTTGGTGCTAGGTGCCGTGTCAAGCCTTTGTTATGCCAGAATGTGTGAAAGCCCACCAAGCACACTGCCAGGAACACACCAGAGGCAAACAAGCTTAGGTTTATTACCTTGTGCTGCAGTAAGAGACAGTCACACCATGGAGAGGTGTGGGCATTTCAACAGATGGAAGGTTGGGAAGAATATCTTATAGAGTTTTCAGGGCTGAAGTTAGTCATAGGATGCTGTTGGAAGAGATTGGTCAGAACTCGTAAACCAGGAGTTGCTGGGACAATCAGTGCTCATATCTTGAGGACAGGTGACTGTGTGGTGTTATAGGTAGATCGGGTTTTCTGTGGCCTTATTTAGAACGTATGTGATGTAGTTTGGTTACCTGTCCCCACCCAAATCTCATGTTTGGAAAATGTAAGCCCCAGTGTTGGAGGTGAGGCCTGGTGGGAGGTGTTTGGACCATGGGGGTGGATCCCTCGTGAATGGCTTTGGCCATCCTCTTGGTGATGAGTGAACTCTTACTCTGAGTTCACAAGAGATCTGGTTGTATAAAAGCGTGTGGCCCCTCCCCCTTCTCTTGCTCCTGTTTTCACCCTGTGATGTGCCTGCTCCTCCTTTGCCTTCCACCATGATTGGAAGCTTCCTGAGGCCTCCTAGGAAGCATAGGCCACTATGCTTTCTGTACAGCCTGTGAACCATGAACCAATTCAATCTCTTCCCTTATAAATTACCCAGGCTCAAGTGTTTCTTTACAGCAGTGCAAGGATGGCTGAATACAGCATGTGTCTGAATGAGCAGGTGCAGAGTCTGAGTTCAGTTGGTGTTGCGTGTCATGGCTTAAACGGGTTTTCAGTGTTGTGAGTCATAATCCATTTTGCAAGTTATGGTTTCGGTTCGATTTTTCAGATCCCCCTCACATCTTAATTGCCAGCTGAATTGGCTTTCCCTTCATCAGAAGGATAATGACAAGTTCCTGTTCTCAGGAAGTCCCCAGTCTGGGCTATTATAATATAATTTGATATGTACTACAGTAGAGATATAAATACGGTGTTAGAGAGTTCAGAAGAAGGAAACTTTTTTTAAAAGAAACCAAAACTTCGTTGAAATCCTACCTGCAATGTGCAGAGCTCTACACAATTATGTACTGCTCAAATTATATTATTTTATTTGATCCTCAGCAATCTTACAAAGTAGGTATTATTTTTATTTTAAATTTTAAAGTCAAAAAAGTGTGATGCCAAAAAAGTTAGATGGCTCACTCAAGGTCACCCAGCTAAGAGATGAGTTTAGGACTTAATTAAACAAATGTTTGCTGGGTAGTATTCTAGGTGCTTTATATAAACTCCAAAGTAGACCTTTGAAGTAGCTACTACTCTATTCTATTTCATCACAAAGAGAAATGAGCCTTGGGGACATGAAGTAACTGGTCTAAAGTCACAAAGCTGGTGACCATGTAGTAGAGGCAGGATTCAGACCCCAGTGGCGTGGCTCTCTGGGCCATGCACATGGCCACTTTGCTCTGCTGCTTCTCCTCAGCCCTTATCATTGGGCTTTCATGTCCATGTCTTTAATCACTGTGCTGGTGTGGCTCATGGACAGGAGAAGCTTCACAGAAGGGTGGACATGTGGGCTGGAGTTTGCTAGATAAATAGAATATCTCTGGATGGATCAGGAAGAGAAGGCTGTGACATATAATTCAGGAACAGCAGCCCTTGAGGTGCCCTGGGAACAGGAAAAGCTGTGCTCGGCCAGAGGTGGGGTGAGGCTTGAGTGTGTAGAATCAGGGAGCTGTGGGTGGCAGTGGTAGAGATGGAGACAGGCGTTGGAACCAGATTGGGACTTCACGCTCACCCCTTGCATTTGACCAACAGGATGCTTCTCTTCCCAATACCTCTCTTGGCTCTGAATGGTTACTCTGGTCTCAATGCATCCCCTAAGGAGAGAGATGACCAAAGATACTCATACTAACGGCAGTTCCAGAGAAGACGTTCTAGAAATGTGTTAAGGAAAAGAAGCTTTAGGAAAAAATGCTGCCTAGAGATATTCTTACAGCAATTGCTTTGATTAGCATTACACTCATTTTAATGTCTGCATCCTTATAAGTTAGAGGAAGAAAATGTCACTACTTTTCAATCAGTCCAGAGTCTGGAAAAGCAGCTTTTATTTATGCAGTGCTGAGAGCTGACTTGCATTTAATGTTCACATCAATTTTTATATAAGGGAGATGCTGTTCATGTCTCAGTTGCATAGTTGAGGAAACTGAGGCTCAGAGGACTCCAAGGAGTTTGGCACCCCACACAGTGATAGGTGGTAGAGTCAAGATTTCAACCCACTTTGATTCCAGAGCTTTTTCTGTCACATTACTTCAAGAAGTCTATGTCATTTTAGCTTGTGAAAGTGCAGTATGTCCCAAACACAATGGCCAATCTTACGTCAAGGACAGTCAGTAGTACAGAGAGGCAGGAGCAGCCTGGAGTAGTGGGGAGAGGCAGTAGTAGGAGGACCAAGAGGAGGGGACTCATCAGAGCCTCTCCCACCCTTCCCCATTCTGTGTCAGACCTGCCCCTGCTTCCCATCCTTGGGACTTCCTGGTGTAAAATACTATCCCACCCAGTGTTACTCCTTAGACAGCAAGAGATAGTCCAAAAACTAGACTGAAATTCCAGGTCTCGCTGTGGGCAGTGGCGCTCCTCTTCACTTTGCTGGGACATTGGTTCAACAGCCAATTAGCATATGTATTTGTGTTGACCCTTCTGTTACCAACCTAGTAGTTTACTTATTTAACAAATGACTGGTGCCCTTGTTAGGTGCTGTGGGCACAGAAAGGTCTTTGATGGCTCTGGAAAACTGATGATATTTCTTAATTTGGGGTATGACATTCTAAATTTTTGTAGCACCAGGGAAAACGTGGTGGCAGCAGGTAATGAGCCCAAGGCTACACATTCTGGAAATAAAAGGAATGATTTGTTACTATCTTTTTTTTCCCCCTGTAGTGTGAGCTTATGGATCAGTTGTATTAGTTGATTAACTTACTGTAAGTAGAATTTGTCCCTTTGGCCCTTTGCATACCCCTGCCATTAGTGCTATCTAGTCTGGCTAATAAGGGTCTCCACGTTGAGTTAGGCCACCAGTATCTGACTCCTGATTCCTTGGCTCATTTTGGACAAGTTATTTAAACTTTTGATGCCTTACTTTTTTATTTTGAATATGGAAATAAGAGTACCTACCTTATAGGGTTGTTTGAAAGATTAAGTAAAAAAAAATCATTGAAAATCACTCAGCACATTACTCAGCACATAGTAAGAGCTCAGTAAAGGATAAGAATAGTAAATGTCACGTGAGCCCCTGTTGTGTTCCAGGCCTGGGCATGGGCTCAGCACTGCACGGCTCCCAGGGGTGCCTTCCACGTGGACAACGATGTGAATATCGCTCTGGAATTGTGCAATGCAGTGACCCCATTCCAGAAACTGCTCTGAGTGCTTCACATGTGTTAGCTCTTTAATCCTTAAAATAACCCATTATTGTTCCCACTTATAATTCAGACAGAGAGATGTTAATGGCTTTGCTCAAGTTTAGCCAGCTGGTAGGTGGCAAAGCTGGGGTGTGAGCCGTTCATATTATTGTGGTATGGACTGGCACAGTTGACCTGTCAGTCGTGAAATGGAGGAACACTCTCCTTAACTTGGCTTTCTTTATTAACCCATAATGCATGGCTTGTCTTTGTGTATTTTAATATTTCTTAGAAGCAGTTTATATTTTGAGCTTTTAAAAATAATACATATAATTGCTGTTTAATAATAGAAATTCAGAAATTCACTTGACCTTGGGAAAAGGTTATATACTTTACTTATCAAGTTCAACTATATGTGATTAGGGCAAAAGAAAGGAAAGAGGAAATGGGGGTTGGTGAGAGAGAGGATGAGAACAAGCCCACTGGATATTTGAGTGGAACCAGCACATCTACCTGCCCATCCATCTGTCTCCACTGAAGGATATGTCACCAGCCCATGTTCTTCACTCAGATGGCTTCAGTTCTCATGTGACTTTAATAATGCAGGCATTGTGCCACATGGAGTGTAGTAATGCACTTTTCATACAACATAGCCTATAAGTGAAGCCAGGTATTTTAGCTGGTACTCAACCAGAGAAGCAAGGATTTGCTCCAATACCAGAAGAAAAAACTAGCTGTGCTAGAATTGTTGACAAGTGACATGGAAAGTCCCCGGTGAGATGCCTTTCTGAGGGATTTTCAAGAGGACCATCCTCTTCAAGAGACCATTTTTTGCCTGCGTGGTGATCAGTGACTTTCTGAAATGGTCCTGGACCTTCCATGGCACCTCCCTTGGCCACAGACCGACTAGGAAAAGCACCAACAGGTTTGTTCCATTCTTCTCTATTTTCTCCTACTCTCAACCTGAGTCCTCCCTTGACCTAGCCAGCCCCTTTGCATAGGATGGTTTGCTGAGCTGTATTCCTCTCTCTCTTCAGGGTCCTGTATTGCCTTTCTCTTTTGGCACTAGAAGCCTCTGACCCTCTATGCCCTTCCTGAACTTTGTTGGCTCTTACCTGCCTAGAAGGAGAACTCAGACACATGAATTAGTACCATTTATGTTATAGGGAACTTTTTGCAACCTTCTGAATATTTCAAAATTAGTTTTCTTCCTCCAAAAATTTCATTCAGGAGGCCAAAATGAGAAGGTTTTTCATTTTAAGGTTAAAGTCTCTGTGATAGTGAGATTACAATAGAGATAGATCAGTGCTGACTCCCTTTCCCTCAGATTCTCATCCTGCTTGCTGCTCTAAGGGTAGCAGCCTTATAGGAACAGATAGCATTGGTGGCATTTTCATGAGAGCTTAGGGGTATCTGACAATTGAAAGCAGTTATGACAAGGCTGTGTAGTTTCTCTGATTGCCACATGGAGGCAACTCAGGGCACCATCAGAATTGGAGGAGATGAGTCTTTATATAAAAATAGGATGTTGTTGATACAATGAAGTCAAAAGATGAATCACCATGCCCTCTACACCCTAACAAAACATGTCTTCCTTTCTACTTAAGACCCAAATAAATTACTTTCTTCCGCTGCCATTCACAGAGCTAAATTAGAGCCTAGCTGAGATGGAGCAGAACTTGTTTTGTCTAGGATGAAGCAAACCAAAATGGCAAGATTACCAGTTGCTACAAGGGCCTAGCCACAGTGGGCACTCAGGTGTTAGTTCATCTGCTGTTTGCTGAGGGGATTTCATTCCACAAGTTACTTTTGTCAGGGGGCTGTATTAGGAGAATATTCTTGCCCTAATGTTGTGGGAGTCTGAGAGAAGGAGCTGTATTAGTCTGTTTTTATGCTTGCTGAGAGAGATATACCTTGGACTGGGCAATTTACAAAAGAAGTAGGTTTAATGGACTCACAGTCCCATGTGGCGCAGAGGCCTCGCAATCATGGTGGAATGTGACAGACACATCTCACATGGTGGCAGATGAGAGAAGAAAACTTGTGCAGGAAACTCCCCTTTATAAAACCATCAGATCTCATGAAACTTATTCACTGTTACAAGAACAGCAAGGGAAAGATCATTCCTCATGATTCAATTACCTCCCACCGGGTCCCCCCCCCCCAACGTGGGAATTGTGGGAGCTATAATTCAAGATGAGATTTGCGTGGGGACACAGCTAAACCATATCACTGGCTTAGAAATGTGAATACAGAATCTAAATTGAGCCTATTCTTCATTTTTACACCTGATTGCTTTGAATTAATCAGGATTGAACTTAAGTGGAATGCTCCCTGGCTTCCTCAAAGCTGGGTTCATTGAACCTCTTAGGTCTTGCTCATAATTTCTCTCTCAAGGTTGTCATCACATTTTGTCAGAATTACCTGTTCCATGCACTTCTTAACGGTTGAGACTGTGACATAATTGGTACCGAAACTGGTGTCTGGCATATAATTGGTGCTTCTTTGTGGAATGAATGAATGGTGTTAAGATGTTATATTTTTCCTTTTTTCAGCAAGTTTCTTAAATAACAAAACCAGATGGATTCTATAGGGAATGTGACAGGATCATGCCAGCTCTCAACAAAAGCACTATCCAGGCATTTTACGTACTGAACCAGCTGTGCTGGGATTTTTATTTAAAGAAATATGATGTGAAAGGCTGTGTTAACCCTCTGAACCCAATTTTTAGAGAATGTGAAATTGTAAAAGCTTGGAAACCTTAAGATGAATGAAAATTCTTTTTCTTACCATTTCTGTACTAGAACCAAAAGAATGAGAGGGCCTAGGACCAGATCTCTTTAAAGTGGAGTGGGCACTTACAGTTACTGCAGTTCTAATCGAATGAGGGTTAGTCCATGAGTCACTTATTCCGAGAAAACTAAAGGAGTTTTGAAAGCCAGGAGAAGCAAGTGAGTTAGCCAGAAGAACATCAGCAAACAAGGATATAGTCCATCACGCTAAGAAAATGATATTTCCTGTCTTCTTTAAACTGAATCTGGACAGCTCCAGGATTAGAATCAGTGTTCTGGGTTTTTATAATTGAATATTATATCACAAAATTGTTTTCCAAGTTGCCACATTATCATTTTAAACAAAGTCATAGCATCCTATTAAATCAATCTGCTCTAATTTGGCTGGTTGGTTATTTCCAATTTTTTAAAAAACTATAATAAGTAATGTTGCCATGAGCATCTTATTGTGTACAAAGTTTCTTTATTCCTTTAGGATGAATTGGTAGTGCATTAAGGGTGAGAAACATTTTTGTGGCTCTGGATACATATTGCTAGAATACTTTTCAAAGGGCTGTAGTGAATACATCCAGGGCCTATTTTAGCTCCTTTTGAAAACCGTGTGCTCCCACTCACTGTCATTCACTGCTTTGTGATCACCTGTTCTTGTTATAAATCTGAAACTGTATACGCCACATTGCTCCCTCTTTATCACTTGCCACAAGCTCATACAAAAGCCAGGATCCCATGAGTTTCAGTCCCAGGAGAGCACCAAATTGAAGGAAACGTCCAACAGTAAAAGTCAATTAGAAATATTTATTTTCAGTGTTTATTATTTCTCTCAAAGAAATCTAGTGGACATTCTTAAAATGCTGGTCCTTTCCTTTTCAGTCATGTACGCTGCACTTGCTAGATGCCTCTCCATCTCTCATCCCATTGCTATCTCACCTCTCATTGGCTTCTCTTTTTTTTTTTCCTATTGGCACCTGCTGTCTAGTTCATTTATCCAGCCATGTTCCCAAAGCCCAATTTTTAAAAAAACTATACAGCCCTTCTTGCTGTACAGAACCTCTTCGGGGAAATAGAGTCTAAATGTCCTCTTGGGATTTTCTCACTCTCAGACTCAGACTTCATGTAACAAGGGAAAAACCCTGAAGCCGACCTGGCAAGCAAGAATATACCTTCGTTAGAAGCAGACAAGGATGGGGGAAGACCAGGGATAGTCACATGTTAATAATTTTGTCCCCACCACAGATGATAACAGCAATAATAACAACAGCACTTAGATGTTAGTCAGGCCAGGCACTATTCTAAGCACTTGACATGTATTGTCACTGAATCCTCATAACAACCTTATGAATTAACTAACATGATCAACCCCATGTTTTAAGTGAAGAAACTGAACTAGACAATGTTTTAAGTTTCTTGATGTCATACAGTAAGTGACAGAGCTTGGGATATACACTAGGTGGTCTTGCGCTAGAGTCTGGGTTCTTAACTACTGTACCATACTGCTTCAGCTTGCTTATATACATACATGCACATACATGCATGTGTTAATCTGTGATATATTACATATATAACACTTTTGGATTTTTCTTATTTTGTCAAAATGTAGAGCAAGAACATGAAAACACTATGGAGTACCCATTTCTTATGAGTTATTTCTTTTAATTAAAAAAATTTCCTTTTCCAGGTGACTTTGTGCTACTGTATCAGTCTGTGTCAGATCTTATTGATCCAGGCTATGGATCTTTATTACTTCTTGTGATGAAAAAGGCATGTTTTGACAAGGTCAGTGGAAAGATGCAATACATCTTAGACTCCGGAATATCCATCTAGTAAAATGGATGTGCTAGTTTACTGACAGGTGTGGTGCTGAGGCTCTGAAAGAAAGGAGTTTGTAATTTGATTTTTACCAATTTATCAAGTAAATGCACACATCCTGCCTATGTCTTGGGTTTGTTTTTCTTGCATCAGCTTTCATCATTTATATTTTTCTTTCAGATATGCCAATTAGGTGCCCCAGTTCATTGTTTTCAGCCCAGAGACATGCACTATGCAGTGCTCAGATAAGATTCCCCTTCTTTGGAAAAATTGGTCGCATATTACATACATGGACACACTTTTCTCAGTCAGAGGACAAAAGTAGGAAGTTTTTGATTTTGTTCAAGAAGAAAATGGCAATTTAGGTCACTCTTCACAGGAAAAATTGCCTTTAAAAACATTAATAAAACATTCACTTTGAAATGCTGCTGCGAGTCTGCTCTTCAAAGAGGAGTGCCTGTTGAGAAAAGGCAATAGCCATCCAGTTTTCTATAGTGGAAAGAATGCTGGAATAGGGTTGAAGAGATCTGAGGTTGCAGTCATTTCTGCTGATTTGGGGGGTTTATTATCTTCTGAGTTTTACTGTATCATTTGTGATATGAAGGTTTGCACTAAATAATGTCTATACCTTTCTTCATACATAATACATTTAAGATAAACCTTTCTACAACCATCTGATCTTTGACAAGTCTGACAAAAACAAGCAATAGGGAAAGGATTCTCTGTTTAATAAATGGTGTTGGGATAACTGGCTAGCCATGTGCAGAAAGCAGAAACTGGACCCCTTCCTGACACCTTACACTAAAATTAACTCCAGAAGGATTAAAGACTTAAACATAAGATTTAACATCTAAATCTTGGTTTGCCTAGGTTTTCTTCTAGGGTTCTTAGAAGAAAAAACCCTAGAAGAAAACCTAGGCAAAACCATTCAGGACATAGGCATAGGGAAGGACTTCATGACTAAACACGAAAAGCCAAAATAGACAAAAACTCCAGAGCTTCTGTACAGCAAAAGAAACAATCATTAGAGTGAATCAGCAACCAACAGAATGGGAAAACATTTTTACAATCTATCCATCTGACAAAGGGCTAATATCCAGAATCGACAAAGAACTAAAACAGATTTACAAGAAAAAAAAACAAACCCGTTCAAAAGTGGGCAAAGGACATGAACAGACAGTTTTCAAAAGAAGACATATATGAGGCCAATGAACATATGAAAAAATGCTCATCATTGATTATTAGAGAAATGCAAATCAAAACCACATTGAGATACCACCTTCTGCCAGTTAGAATGGTGATCATTAAAAAATCTGGAGACAACAGATGCTGGAGAGAATGTGGAGAAATAGGAACATTTTGCACTGTTGATGGGAGTGTAAATTAGTTCAACCATTGTGGAAGACAGTGTGGCACTTCCTCAAGGACCTAGAAATAGGAATTCCATTTGACCCAGCAATCCCATTACTGGGTATATACCCAAAGGATTATAAGTCATTCTAGTATAAAGACACACGCACACTTATGTTAATAGAGGCACTGTTTACAAAAGCAAAGACCTGGAACCAACCCAAATGCCTATCGACGACAGACTGGACAAGGAAAATGTGGCACATATACACCAGGAAATACTGTGCAGCCATAAAAAGTGATGAGTTTGTGTCCTTTGTAGGGACATGGATGAATCCGGAAGCCATCCTTCTCAGCAAACTGACACAAGAACAGAAAATCAAACATTGCATATTGTCACTCATAGGCGGATGTTGAACAATGAGAACACATGGACACAGGGAGGGGAGCATCACACACTGGGGTCTGTTGAGGGGGACTAAGGGAGGCACAGCGTGGTGGGGTGGGAGGTTGGGGAGGGATAATATGGGGAGAAATGCCATATATAGGTGACGGGGATAGAGGCAGCAAACCACATTGCTGTGTATGCCTCTATGCAACAATCCTGCATGATCTGCACAAGTACCCCAGAACCTAAAGTGCAATAAAAATATAAATATATGTATTTATATAAATAAATAAATATAATAAACCTCTATGTAGGTGGCCTTTAATATCTGTCTGTCCTGTGCAGTTGATTCTGGGGACTCCCAGGAATTGGCAATGCCTCCCTGCTGGACAGTCCTCACTCCCCTCACATTCTTACTTATCAATCTGAACTGGCTGGCTGAAACTCAAAATTAGCAATTCCTTCCTTAAGATTAAGCACTAGGTAAGATAAAAATATTCCTGGGAGAATCTATGTTAGTTATATGCTATAATTATTTAGTTCAGTTAACTAATAAGCAGTAACTTAGTATGTCAACTATTTGAGATACTGTGTTGGGCTCTGGGTGTGTGTGGAGTGGGTGAGGAGGAGTGCAAAGATGCATGAGAGATGGCCCTGCCCTTGATGCTGGAGAATGGGCAAAGCTGCAGTGTCAGGTGAGAGCTGCCTGTGATGGATGCTGTACGAGTTTAAATGGGGAGAGGGATTGCTGGGAATCTTTTTAAAACTGAGATCAGGTTTGAACATGACTTTCCAAGATGGTTGACTGAACAAAAGACATAGGTAAGAACCTATGGCTTGACATGAATCAAAACTTATAGATGGGAATAGCCAAGGCATGTTCGCAACCAGTTCAAGGTCAAGCCAGAGTACCATTAAAGGTGGACAAAGAGAATTGGAATGTTGTGGGCTGGGTATGGTGGCTCGTGCCTGTAATCCTAGCCATTTGGGAGGCTGAGGCAGGCAGATAACCTGAGGTCAGGAGTTTGAGACCAGCCTGGCCAATATGGTGAAACCCTGTCTCTACTAAAATTGCAAAAATTAGCCAGGCATGGTGGCATCTACCTGTAATCCCAGCTACTCAGGAGGCTGAGGCAGGAGAATCGCTTGAACCTGGGAGCTGGAGGTTGCAGTAACCCGAGATTGCGCTGCTGCACTCTAGCCTGGGCAATAGAGTAAGACTCTGTTTCAGAAAAAAGAAAAGAAAATTGGAATGAATGCAATAAATGAAAAGGAGTGACCATTTATTTTTGAACAAGGGACTGATATACCAATGGCGAATTTGAGAAACTGTGTGTGGCAGGGCAAAATAGTTTTGAGAGGAAACAGTCCCTAAGGCTTCCAAGTTCCAACCCTTACTCCTTGAATGTGTGTTTAAAAAATTTGATCTGAAGATCCTTTTGGGAAGAAATGTTGAGTATAAATATTCTTGCCAGCCAATATAAGCAGCTCTGGAAGAAAAAGGAAATGTTTGAGGGATGCTAACGTGAAGAGACAGGGCTTGGAATGCCCACTCAGGCCTGGTTTTCTAGTCCCAGCAACATTAATGTTCATCCTGTTTCTTCCTTCAATTTTTCTGGCCCTTAAGACAGCAAATGTCAAACTGTGAAAGACCACAAGTACTTTTCTTTGTTATATTTAGCTTCTCATAGTTTTTAAAAAATATAAAAGCTATAAAATCTGCCTCATCTCTCATTTCTCCATCCTTTCACTGGCTGAGGATGTATTTAACAGGTTTCATATTGGAATTGCCAGGAAAAGTTCAGGCTGTTTATGTCTGCATAGCAAATCATCCTTGAGTCTAGGGGCTTAACACAACAGTCACTTCCATACCTCACAAATCTCTAATCTGAGCTGGTCCAGGTAGGGAGGTTCAGGTCTGCTCTGTGTGCCATCAGCTGGGATGGGTCGAGTGGAGGCTGGAGGGTCCACTTTCAAGATAGCTCACTTACGTGGCTGGCAGCCAGCGGATTGCAGATGAGGGGTCATTAGAAGACCCAACATGAGGGGAGCCCTGCTTCCTGTCCACATGCACCTGTGGTTTGTTGGCTTCCATATAGCACGGTGGCTGAGTTCCAAAAGTGAACATCAGGGGTTGTAATATGCTTTATGTGCGTAACTTGGGTTGTGCTTTGAAAATTCTAACCCTTTGATTAAGGGATAAGGGTAGGCCCTTCAGCTACATAGTTCTTTAAAATCCATGTCCCTGACTCTGATGTCCTACTTAAAGGACTGATGTCCATGGGAGATATTCCAGCCCTCAAAGTGTGTGGGGTGCCTGAGCTCTCAGCAAAGATGGGAAGTTGAGTCACACTGATGTGAACTGAGGTGATGATGGGACTCCCTGGGTAGAGTTGTCTTGAAGAGGCACAGAATCAATCATAAAATACTATTCTCTGTGATTTAAAAGTCAAGTGCTCAGTTTTCGGCACTCTCTTAATCTTGTTCAAAAGGAAACTTAAGAGAATGTTGCTGTACTGTTTTCTTCAAATGAGTTCTGTGCGGCTAAAGTTACACTTGGTAGCTCTTGGCTTGTCTTTAGTTTCAAATGTAGGGGGAGAGGGGATGTTGTTTGGAGAGTCCTCTAAGCCCTCTCTGCTGATGGAAAGAACATGTTTCAGTGCCTTTTGGCCTCCCAAGTTTCTCCCAAGTTGTTTTTGAGTCATTTAGAAATAACTGAACTGGATTAAGCAAACCCTTTTGGCTTCATAGCTTCAATATTTATTAGTCACTTGTCTTATAGAGCAGGTTTTTGCCCTATAATCTTCAAGGCTCAGGCCATTTATTCTATGAGTGATACTATCTGATGTCACACTGACATATATCGGTACACTGGTATTTATCAAGACTATTTATGTAATGAAACCATATGTTGGAAGAAGTCTATGCCTGTATCATTAGTCTTGGAAGCAGAAGCTTTTTCCATTGGATGCAGTACCTGGGATTGTGGTATATAATATTTTAATTGAATCCAGGATGTTTTGGTATTACAATATTTAGGAAGGTTAAAGAATTCGAAACAGAATTGTCCAAGTAATAAAGAGTGAGCCATTTTTATAAAGATCCTGTTCCCTAGGTGCTCATGGTTTGTGGAAACCTCAGGTGGAGTCATTTCTGAAGAATGCTAGACTGAAAATAATGTCACGGGGTCCAGGCAGGAAACATAGCATATTCAAACAGATGATTCAGAACAGACCTATTTACAAAAGTGTTGGCATGGTTAAAAGAAACCAACAAAGGATGACGGAAGCACCCTGAGAGGCCACTTAACTTCTGAGCCTGGAGGGGATTGGGTAGGGAACTAAACTCCTATGTGGGAGGTGCCACTGGACAGGGGCTGTGTCTTTCACAGAGGAGCATACCCACCCACCCACCAGGAGGATGGTGGGAAGAGTAAACCCACCAGTTCCTCATCTTTCTGATCACCTGCCAAGGCCTTCCATTGTCAAACCTCAGCCAAAACCCTGAAAGGCCAGAAGGCTAATTGCTACGTTCCATTAAAATTCAGCCTTCTGGAATACAGAGCAGCATTGAGAAGGGTAGAAAGTGGATTTGAAGGAGCCAGTGGAAAGTATCCATCACGACACATACACACAACCTTATGGTTTTGGTTTGTCAGGGTTTGTTTTACAAAGACAAGCTCATCAGGGAGGCCTAAGTTGCATGGGTAAAATTAAACATAAGTCTCTCTCTACTAATATAAGGGTGAAAATTTAGATTGCATAGAAATCATTCCAAAATGTCATTAGCTCTGGGACAAAGAGAAGTTGAGACTTCATATCATTCTTCAGGCCATGGCATAGGGATGGAGTCCTGGGGTTAGAGAACAGGGGAGGGCTAAGGTGTTTGGAACTAACTTTTCCTAAAGAAAAGGAAATCCTAGTTCTGTAACAGAAAATAAGACCTCAGCAGAGCCCCTGAGATGGGCCACGGGTGGGGAAGAAGAGGAAACATGCCCATTAATTAGGTGACAGCAGCCCTTACTACCTGGTCGCAGAGGGACAGAACCCCAAAGGTAGGTGAAAAATGTGCTCAAAAGGGAGGACAGTTCTGAGACTCATTCAGCCTGTATCTCAGAAGTATACTTATCTGGTAGAATGCAGCCACTTGGGGGTCTATTCACACTGTGGCTTACTTCTCCTTTAAAAATGAAATTGTTTAGACTCTGCATACTCAGTGGGTTCATGCTGCATTTTGGTGCTGAAGCTGCCCGAGATGGAAGGGAAGAGCCTGTGTGTGCTGAACCCCTCACAGTTTCCAGTGTATGCTAACTTATTCAAGGTCATGGAACACGTGGTATATGACAATGGTACATGGAATTTTTTATGTATGAGAAATCATAGGAATTTTCAAGGCTACATCCTTTTGTGAGAAGCCTAACTGCTTGCACAGTGGCTTTCAATGTACAAGGTAGGTCCATGGCGTTTCCCATCCAGTCTGCCTTAATCCCTAATATCCTAAAGGACTTGGTGCATGACATGCTCGTGGCACCTGCTCAAAAGCAGTATTTTAAGGTAGTTTCAGTTTCTTTGGCTTAGATTGTGTGTTAGTCTGTTTTTGTGTTGCTGTAAGGGAATACCTGAGACTGGGTAATTGATAAAAGAGGTTTATTTGGCTCACAGTTCTGCAGGGTGTACAAGCATGGCACCAGCATCTGCTTGGCTTCTGATGAGGCGTCAGGAAGCTTACAACGATGGTGGAAAGTAGAGGGGGAGCAAACACATCATATGATGAGAGTGGGAGCAAGAAAGAGACAGGGGAGGTGCCACACTTTTTTCAACAACCAGATCTTGCATGAACTCAGAGGGAGAACTCACTCATTATCACAAGGAGGACACCAAGCCATTGATGAGGGATCTCATCACCCAGACACCTCCCAAAAGGCCCCACTTGCAACACTGGGGATCACATTTCAACATGAGATTTGGAGGGGACAAAACATCAAAACCATATCAGAATGAATCTGACTCTTTCTCCCAAAATAAGGATGTGAACAACCCGTTGATACTTAGAATTCATGTACACTGAAGACTGCTTTTAGAAAAAGAAATGTTCACATAAATAGGTTATAGTTCCTTAAAAAGCCAGGTTCAGCAGATGTAGCCATAAAAAGATTCACAGGAGCTGAGAAGTTCCTTATGGCCATTTAATTTGAAAGTCACTTTAATTTGTCATTGGTCTTGAATTCAAATATTCACAAAGGTAACCCTTGGGCAGAAGAATAAATCAGTACTGTTAATTGCACTTGTTTAATTCAACCATGAGGAAAATCAATCCTTTCATAAGCGCCTGGTTTCTGCTGCTGAACCAGCCCTTTTATTTTGTGATGGAAAGAAAGGTTATAAAATGTTTTTAATTAAAAGTTTTAATCTTTTTTGCCCTTCTCTAGAAATACATTGTGGAAGAATACTATTTTAATTAGAAGAAATATTTAGCTCAATAATACTAAATTGTAACTGGCTATAATCAGGAAATGAAATAATCAAGATAGGACATCTGAAGGAACCCACAAGGTTTCTTATAGGTATGCATATAAGAAATTTACACTGAGATCTGTAGTTTTTCAGAATAGGCACCAAGGAATCCTGGTAATAAAACAACAGGTTGGCCATTTGCTACGTGCAAAACTAATTTGAGAAATAGAAGAGGAGGTTATTTCCTTCAAGGAGCCAATCTGATTGCAGAGATAAAACTCATGAAAGGTGATTGATATGCAAGAATTAAATGACCGTTCAGTTGAAATGATGCCACAAAACTGTACTTATCTTCCAGATAAATAGTACTGGTAATATGTGCTTTATTTGGAAAAGAGAGAGATGGTTGTGGAAAGGTGTGCAGCGAGTTGGAGATGGAACTTGAATTGGATTTTTAAGGAGGAGTAGGACTTGGATAGACTTAGAAGGGCCTTGGGCATGACAGAAGAAAAGCAAGAAATAATAGGGCTTAAAATGGCCTGGGATCTTCATGGCCACGCAATCTGGATGGTACATGAATACCGCCAGTGACTCACTGCTTTCGTGTGTAACCTGCTCTATTTTTGCACAGCATTAGTCATCAGAAAGTACTTTTGTTTAGTCTTCAGGTGAAATCTATCCCTGCCCCTTGAGCTTCTATTTGAGTTCTTTCCGTGTACAGAAATATAAAACCCTCTTCCAAATATGAGCCCTTGAAATATGTGAAGAGGACTATTTTGTATCCCCTAAGTTTTCTTTTCTTCCCCAGTCCTTCAGCTATGCCTCATTTTTCATTGTTTCCAGATACTTTGCCTTCTTGTTCAGTTTTCTCTGTGTATCTTGAGACCCTTCACCAATACGTCCTTCCCTTGCAAAGCATGGTCTGATCCCAGCCCTATTAAAAACCTACAGCCCCTCTGCAGCACCCAGAATAAATCTGGCCTCCTTGCTTACCTGTGACATAGTTCTTCAATGGGGGCCAAAAAGTGTTTGTACTGTGCACCCTTCCTCCTCTTCAGTAAAAATGCCACCTGTGCCAGAAGACATGGCATAACTGTTACATAGCATCTAATGTGTGATCTACCTCCACTTTTCCCCATGAGTGGGCAGGGAGAAGATGGGGAGTGGGGTTTTGCGGTTGTACATGTTCCCCCTTTTCCCCTTTGGTGAGAGAGCAAGGCCATTGTCTGAGTGCTATGGGCACTATCTTTTGTTGTCTTGGCTACTCTGTGGCTTCTAGGGATGCCAAGACTGATGTGGAATCATCCAGCACCACCCCCACTGCTCGCCATTTTGGCCATGGTTCAGTGCTGTGTTCTTGCCCTTCAGAGCTGCCAAGCCTTCACAGGGCCACCACCACCCTGTCCTGCAAGTGAGCTTATGAGGCCCCTCAGGCCCTGATGTAACAAAAGGACTATCCTGGCTGAATTTCTGATTTTCCCCATTTCTTGAAGCTAACAGGGTCTCCAGGGCATCTAGACTGGCTGGGAAAGAAGGTTAGCTGCCAGAAGGACAGAGTCTTGCAGAATCCATCCTTCACACTATAGATGGGGAGTTGCTCACTTTTCTGTGTGCTGCCCCTGCTCTGTGTTGTCATGATTTGATGAGCTGTTACAGCCTAACTCAGTCACATGCTTTCAGCATTCTGAAAGGAAAACCATGTCTATAAATCCCAGGAAGAAGAAGAGATTGTAGCTTTTGGCTTTACTGAGAAAACTTGAAATGACTTCTTGCTTTTATCCTGTCTTATTTTAAAGTGGGTAGCATGGTTTCGCTGTAGATCCCCCTTCCCATTCTGAGATTTCTCATGGTTAGTTGTTGATTTGCTGTAAACTCCAAGAATGATACAGGACTCGGTTTTTATTCTCTGCAATAGCACTTACTTCCTGATGTTTATCATACACGTTTGGTGATTTGTTGTCAGTTGCCTGAGAGTAGGAACTTTGTCTTTGTTCATTACTCTGTCCCCAGCATCTGGGGTGGTAGACATGCAATGAACAGTGGAATGACTGCTAAGCCGTTCTTGGTGTAGAATGCATTCTTCTCCATATTTTGGGGTAGGGCTGGCCTTATATAAGAGCCTTGTTAGGTTTTGGCACAAAGAAATTTCTCCAGGATGACTGTTGCCTGAAAGACCCCCTCCTGGTTACTTACTAGTCCTTGGGGTTGCTCCCAGTGTCCCCTTGCCGGTGGTCATCTGCCCAGCCTCACTCTTGGAATCTTCTGGAATGAAAATTTGCCCACTGCCTTTTGCTTCTCTAGGGTTTGGCTCTCTGAGCATTTCTTGCCTGTTTGTATGTGGGCTTATCTGATTGATCTGAGTAGTCTACCATTTGACTGATAGTTTGCTCCCCATCTTGTTCATTACTGTTTTATATCTCTGAACCACTGAAAAATGGCATCCTATTTCTTAAAGGACCATGGCATTCAGATCCAGGAATTAAGCTTCAGGCAATCATGTATTGCTATCTGCTTTTTACCCAACACTTTTTTTTTTCTAACCAAACACTTCAAAGAGCTTGCTTGCCGCCTTTTCTTCATTTCTTGCTTCCTTCCTCCCACTCCTCGGCACACATTTGTTGATCCCCTACTTTTTGCCAAGCCCTTGTGCTGTGGATCCGTGGTGAATAGGACAAGCAGGACGCCTGCCCTCTCATGCATGTTAGAGACTATTATAAAACAGCGTCCTCACCACCACCACCTGCACACGTTATGCATGCTTCAGCTGAAGGGTTGAGTTCCATTCTGACAGATACCATCATGACATAGAGACTGAGTTGTGGAATCAGGCAGATCTGAGCTGACCTCCCAGGTCTTTCATTTATTACCCAGGTGACCTTGGGCAGGTAACAAAGTCTTAAAGCATCAGTTTCCTCATTGGTATAATCAGGAGAATAATAGTCTTCACCTTGCAGAATTCATAGGAAGATAAAATGAAATACAATTTATGTAAAGCACTTAGGACAGGACCTGACTCTTAATCAATGTCAGTAATGAGAGTGAGGATGGTGATAATCTCCGGGAGCCTGGATGGAGGATGTGGAATTAGTTCAACCTTGATTATGATACAAATGCTCTTAATCACCATTTACTTAACTAAAGGATAAAAGGTTCTGTTTAAATTAGCAAAGGGGGAAAAAAGAGGTAAACGTAGTTGTGATACATGAGTATAGTAATCATGTTTTCTGAACTTGAAAAAGCAGCCTTTGTGGTATGACCAGCAGGCATGGGCACTTCTTGCGGGGGTGGGGGTGGGGGTGGGCACAATGTTTGTATTTAGGTCACTGGTTGCTGTATGAACAGGGCACAACTACCCTAACAAAGAAGCTGCTGAGAGAGGACAAGGGGCTTGTTGGTGAGGGAGCACTGAGGGCAGAGAAAAGGAAGAGGAGAGGAAACAAAACCCCTAGGCTTGCTCATTTCCTGCTCTATTTACTGTGACTTACCTAGAGCTCTTTTAGCCTTTCTTTAAATAATTGAAGACCATCTGAAATACCAGAGCCTTCATGAACGTTAAGTAATATACCTAGTGGCCCTATGCTAAGCTGGGAGAAAAGTCCTGTGTATTATACTCCAAAGGGATTGCTGTGTGGGTCATAAAGGAGGAATTTATCACCAAAATAGGAGGGCAGGTACCTGTCTGTACTCGTTCCAGAGTCTGGTTGAGAGCTGTCTAAGGATTGCAGCCCCCAGAAATGCTTAGGGCAGAGCAGGTGCACCTGGAAGGACGAACAGTGAGTTGTCCATGAGTGTTCACATCTGTATGGCCTTTAGTGGGATGTCTGCTTCAAACAGTGAGAGCAGAAAGGGTCTAAAGGGCCAACTACTCATTAATAACAACAAATAAATTTGTTGCTTGAACATTCAGCTAATTTGAAAATTATTTCATTTTTCAATGCCTTTTAGCAATTCAAGCACATAGAAAATTTCTTTGGGAATCTTAATAACAATTCCAACAAAAATGTCCTAAAGGATGGAAAAAAAGTCTCCCAATTCTCATAGAATACTTTTAGCTTTTCAGCAGAGGTATCCAAACATAGAGTGTGAATGTTGAATAAATATAGTTTAGGACAAAAATAGAAAATAGAGACTTGTTCTCCTAGTGCGAAAACACGTGTTAACAACCACAATATTTTTCTTTTTTTTTCACTGTAAAAAAAAATTCTGGGTAAATGTTTCATGCTGGACAGATGGCTATTTTTCCTTTGCATCTTTTCATTACCTGCTGAGAGAGAGGTAACAAAAAGGTGGAAAGGAGAAATAACCATTTTTCTCCGCCAGATAACTCACATTTTCATGTGTCTTTGTTTTTCTTTAAATTTCCATCAGGAAAGGGCTCAGAAAAGATCGTGGTGAGACGAAGTATCTTCATGTAAGCCTGCTATTTCCTAGGCATGGTTGGGGGCCCACCCCAACTTCCTGGCACTGTCCTCAGCCCCTTACTGCCTCTTTCCCCCCTCCTGCCCCTTTGCCTTGGATGCTCTTACAGTGTCCATGTTTCTTCTCCATAGCTCTTATCACAGTAATAATTTAAGAATAAATTTTGTGGTTCATTTTTAAGTACTTCCCTTCTTTGCTAGACTGTGATGTCCACGAGGGCAGGGGGTCAGACTATTCACCTGGGTATACACTGGGTCTGGCCACATGCCTGACGCATAGTAAGAGCTTGGTTTATATTGTTGAAGAATAGCTGACATTTATCGAATGACAGGCGTCCTCCTAATGGAAGAATCAGCCTTTAAAATACTTGACAAACCATCAAAAAAATAAATAAGCTTCAAATAAAATCTAAAAGAATCTATGTGTACAATTTATTTTGTATATTGCTTTGAGTCTTTAAGCTATTGCATACATCAGATGCTACACTAGCTTAAATATGAACATTCGAGTTTCCAAAAGTGTGAATTGAGTTCAAATAAATTATTTTATCTCTTCTTCCCTGTGTGAGTGAGGGAAGGGGAGGGGAGTTTTGCTAAACTGAAGTTAACATAGAGAGAGAAGGTCATTGTTGTTGGGGGGTTCCCCAAGCCCAGGTCTCTCAGGAGAACAATCAAAGAGACATTGCTTGTGTACCAGCCAGGGTTCCGACAGGAGGTGGCAGGCACTCAAATGGGTAATTTGAGGAGAATTTAACAAAGGGATGACTTGTGAAAGTGAGGGCGGGGTTTATAGAAATCATTTAGAGATAGTGCAGCATCCAGGGCTGGCTACAGCTGAGAGCCTTTAATGCCTCTAGGCTGGAAAAGTAGGGCATGAAGAGTTACCAGAACCCACAGAGAAAAGCTATAAAGAGCTGGGCACCTAAAAGGAGCTTTGAAAATGGTAACAGCACATAGCAAACCCACAGCATCTTGGCAGGGAGGAAGCTAGGGAAGTGGATGCTTTTCTCCCATCTCCCAACCTCCTGCCAATGCCTTCTGTGAGTACAGCAGTCGGGGCATAAGGGAACCATTGCTTTAGTCATGAGGGCCAATTGTACAAGGCCCAGAGCAGGGTAGAATAGGTTGGAGAGTGAAGGTGAAATGCAAAGAGAAGATACAAGGTAAAAAAGAAGGTAGAAGGCCGGGCGCGGTGGCTCACGCCTGTAATCCCAGCACTTTGGGAGGCCGAGGCGGGTGGATCACGAGGTCAACAGATCAAGACCACCTGGTCAACATGGTGAAACCCCGTTTCTACTAAAAATACAAAAAAAATTAGTGGGGCATGGTGGCGTGTACCTGTAGTCCCATCTACTCGGGAGGCTGAGGCAGGAGAATTGCCTGAACCCAGGAGGCAGAGGTTGCGGTGAGCCAAGATCTCGCCATTGCACTCCAGCCTGGGTAACAAGAGCGAAAACTCCGTCTCAAAAAAAAAAAAAAAAAAAAGAAGGTAGAAAACACAGCTTGCATGCTCTCCACACAAACCCACCAGAGGACACAGAAAGCCTGGAAAGTCTGAAAACTCCATATTAAAATGAGGACATTTATGTGAGCACCTTGGAAGGTCAACCTTGGCACTCTCCCAAGCAGATGTAATATTGCCAATGTCAAGTTGCTGCTCACTGGCAGCAGCTAGCCTTAGATCTTAGAGGTCTTCCAAATTCAATCATTTGAACAAATGCTAGTATTTGCAAGCACCTTGGTGTGTTGGGCGCAGGAGCCTTGCAAGGGTTATTTTTGGTGCCCCATTTTCCAGTAGAGCAAGGCTGTTCCTGTAGGCTTTTCTTTAGTATGGTGACACTCACTGACACTCATGGTGAGGCCCCAGGAGTAGCACCTGGGAGCTTATTAGACATGCAAATCCATGACCACACCCCAACATTCTAAATCAGCATCTCTGGGGGTGGGGCTTAGAAAGCCACATTTTAACAGCTCTCCAGGTGATTGCTATGCCCACTGAAGTTTGAGAAGCACTGCCTTTGCAGCTATTGCAAACTTTTGGAACGTGAAGAAATAAACTTAAGGCTGTGAGTAAAACAACCCTCACTGCACCAGTACACACAATTTTTCCATACTCATGGCATACTTTCAAATAGTCCTGTAAAATAAGGAAATTGGATTAGAGAAGTGGTTTTCAAACAGTGTTATTTGATCCCCTTAGAGCCAAAGGGGTCACTGGGCCAATTCACTCAACTAATGTAATGTTTATAATATTTCATTTGTATGTAAGGTTCTAAGACTTAAGAAACATTGAAAAAACCTCTGGTTGAGATGACCTAAAGTCCTCTCTTGCTCAAATGTTCTATGGCATTGTGTATATGTGTCAGTTGGATTGATTCAGCATGTGTGGTATCTCTATTTAATGCTTACATAGATACATATTTTGTTTCATTTCAAAATATTAGCACTGGCTTATGGCCAGAAGTGCTATTTTCCCATTTCCTGTCCTTTCTGGCCTAGCTAAGGTGTTTTCCCATAGATCTTTCTACCCTGAATGTATGTATAATTTCTAGAATAGCAGTTAACCCTTGTTGGCATGTCATTAGTTGCTTTACTATCTTTTATTGGTGTTTTGAACATGCAAAAAATTGCAGAAAGTATCATTGCATGTTTGCTTCTATCAGCTTATGTGTTTGAGCTAGCCATGTAAGCAGTGAGTTATCATATATATTTTAATGGAGGGACTTCAGCAGGCAGGATCAGAGTTGTTCTAATTCCTGTTGTGTACTTGACTTACATGACATCCCACATGCTCGAGCAAGTGCCTGTCCTTTCTGTGCTTGCATTTTCTTGTCAAAGGGCCATGATAATATACTGCCTCCCTATGTCACATGGGGTAGCTCCAGAATTTCTACATAGAAGGGGGTTTGGGGCAGTAATCTTTTAGCTGGGGATAGTAGCTCTCAGCACCTGGTACAGTGCCTGACTCACAGTAGCTCTTCAATAAATACGTGAAGTGCAGAAGAATTTGTAACTCAGATGTTGACTAGGGTCAGCTGATTCTTTGATATATAAAACGCACTCGAACTCTGTCCTAGGTGCTCTGCAACCTTAGAAGTTTATGGTCTCATGGTCCATTCTGGCTCTGATTTTTGGTTGCTACAGAACTCTCGGTCACATGCTGAGAATGCCTCACTTGTGACTCTTCCCCTCTCTGCTCTGTGTGAACTTACCACCAACTTCTTCTCCTTGGTTTACCCCGAACAATTCTTATACATGCCATTTGTGTGCAGTGGATGCTCTTAGTTATCTGTGGATACCAGCTGGGAAACAGTACCACATAGATAATTTAGGGTTAGTTTTCTTTTTAAAAAACGATATCCTGGGGAATAGCACCTTTGATACGATGTGATGAAAACTGCACTTTACTTCTGAAGTCTAAGTCATCTGAATCCCTAACCTCAATCTAAGTATGAGAGAAACATCAGACAACTTGGAATAGAGGGCCATCCTATGATATGCCTTACCAGGACTTTTCAAAACTCTCAAGGACATCAAAAGCAAGGCAAGACTGAGAAACAGTCACAGCCAAGAGAAGCCTATGAAGACATGGTGATGAAATGCAATGTGGTAACCTAGATGGGATCCTGGAACAGAAAAAGGATATTAGGGAAATGCTAAGGAAATCTGAACAAAGTGTGGTCCTCTGTTCTCATACCTGGAACAGAAAATTTTGTTCTGTGAATTTTCCTCCTTGTTTTTCTTGTCAAGGTGCTGCCCCTGGCCTCCTGCCCCATCCATATCACTGCCCTTCTCCTCATATCACTCCTGCTTTGGGGGACCTCTCAATGTCCCTCATTCTCATTAATTTTTTCATGGAGCATTTTGGGGACTCTTTGTTCCACCCTGGCTCATCCAGTTGCTCTTAAAGTGACAATTGTCTCTTCTTACTGTAAATGAACAAACTGACTGACTGTTGTGAGCTGATCCTCAGTCCAGATCCAGCTCACCCTAGTAGTTTCACCACAGGGTGAAACCCTGTCTCTACTAAAAATATAGAAATTAGCCAGGCATGGTGGCACCTGCCTGTAGTCCCAGCTACTTGGGAATAGTGTGGCCTAGCTCAGGAGAGTGGAATTGTACCAACTGGAGCACTGCCCATCATGGAGAGAAGGGTTTGCTTATCTTTCAAGGCTTTATCTCAATATTAACTATATGTTTTCCTCACAATGGACATTAAACTACATCTAAACTATGTATTTAGTTTGGGAAAAAGTAACTTCCAGTGCAGTGCCAGGCACTGAGGACACTCAAAATTGCCCTTAGTAATGAACCTTCTAGAAATAAGTTGAGTTCACTGAGTAGCAGATTTCATGGTAAGCTTTCAAATATCATTGTCCCTGCAGAACTTATGTTCAGATTGAAAAGTGGGTCCTGAGCCATGTTATTCTTATCAAGGCCATCCTAACAAAAATAAGGGGAAGAGAAGGAAAAAAATAGTTACACTTTTCTGGAGTAGCAGATGAGTTATCTCATTTAATCCCCACAACAACATTTTAAAATAGATATTTTTGTCCCAGTTAGAGGCAAGGAAGCTGAGATGTGCATAGTAGTATAGCCTATGAATGGCCCAACCAGAGTCCAGAGTCCAGCTGTGCCTGACCCCAAAGCTTTGACTCCATTCAAAGTCCTGCCCCCTCACTGTTTTTCCAGCAGTCCTGGTGGCAATGTCATCAGAAGTACTTGACTTTTTCCATGTTCTTGACTTGTGCTTTTATTTGTTGCCAGTGCTTTCTACAGGTAGAGGTTTAAATTTGCATGTCAGTTTTCATACTCATCAGCATCCTCCTTCCCCTCACACACCTCTAGTGAACCAGTGGGTTCCTGTGAGAGATTCTGTGAGAATACATTGAAAGCCTGTTCAGGTCCGATTCTCTTCCTACCCGAGATGAATCTAAGAGCCCAACCTCCCAGCTACAGAAGACAGCATGGCTTTCTGCAAGCCATTACATATTTTCTTATGTCTTTTCCAGCTTTCTCATATGTGGCAGCTATAAGATGAAGGAAAGAAGGAGCATAATTGGGTTTAGGTGGGCAGCCAGGTAAAGAAAAATAGAGTCAAGAGGTCGGTCAGTCCTTCTGGGGTCTCAGGGTCTTTTATTAAGCCATTTCAGCCATGAACAGGGGGCATGCCTTTGTGTTCATGCCCACTATGCCTTTAGTTGGCATCACTTGGGACCATCACTGTGTTAGTCCGTTCTCACACAGCTATAAAGGCATACCTGAGACTGAGTAATTTATAAAAGAAAGATGTTTAATTGGCTCACAGTTTCACATTGCTGGGGAGGCCTCAGGAAACTTACAATCGTGGCAGAAGGTGAGAGAGAAGCAAAGGCACATCTTACATGGTGGCAGACAAGAGAGGGCAATTGAGTAAAGTGGGAAGAGCCCCTTATAAAACCATCATATCTCCTGAGAACTCACTCACTATCATGAGAACAGAATAGTAGAAACTGCCCCCATGATCCAATCACCTCTTACCAGGTCCTGCCTTTGACACGTGGGGATTATGGGGATTACAATTTGAGATGGATGAGCTTTGGATGGGGACACAGAGCCAAACTATATCAATCACCTAACCTTTACTGTCTGAGGGAAGGAGTGATGCTGCAGACAGGAGTCATCAAGCTGAAGACCACAATACACACTGACACCTCATGCTTCATATCTGTCTTAGTCCATTCTGTGTGGCTGTAACAGAGTACCCAAGGATGGATAATTGATAAAGAAAAGAAGTTTATTTGGCTCATGGTTCTGATGTCTGGAGAGTCCCAGGCCATGGTCCCACTATTTGCTTGGCTTCTGGTGAGGGCCATGTCCCACATCAAGACATGGCAGAGAAGCAGAAAGGCAAGGAGGCAAATACAGGGAGGGACCTCACTTTATAACAGCTAATCCAGTCTTTCGAGAATGAACTCCCTCCTCTAAGATGGCATTAACATACTCATCATAAGCGATCTGTCTCCATGACCCAGACACCTCCCATTAGGCCCTACTTTGCAACATGACCACAACAGCAATCAAATTTCAGCATGAGTATTGGAGGGGAAAACCATATTTAAACTGTGGCAATATCTTTAGAAGACTTCAACGGAATGACTTTTGTCATTGGATGAGGGGATAGATTTGAACAGCTTTGTAGCAAACACAGTTGATGCAACTTAGTGGGTTTATGGGGTTCTTCTGAATTAAAAAATTAATCCAATTACAACAACGATAGAAGCAGAATTCTGCCATTTGCCTTCTTAGGAGCAGTCTAGTTTCTGTTAAACCATGTTAGGCTTTGAGACCTGAAACTTAACAGCTGTGTAGAGTAATGCACTGCTAGAATGTAGTTATCCTATTCAGCCAGAACAATTTTGGGAGTAGATAGAGCTTTTGTGGTTGAGGCCACAAACATTCTGCAAAAAGTTCAGACTCTCTTAATGGTAGAAATCTGTCCTCCAGGAGGGGGCAGGCAGTACCATTGATGGAAAATTTGCAAGGAAGGAATTTGTTCCTATAGCACTATTACAATGCAATAATACACAATGCAATTAAAGGATCACTGTGGGTAAAAAGAGGTTGGGAGAAAAAGTAGAAACCAGTAGAAGCAATCTAAATAAGTGAACAAAATCTCCATCATTTCCTTATTAAAGAGTAAAAGGCATTGAAGAGGTTATTTCCTGCCTTCGAATACTCTGCAGAGTAGAAACTGAAATAAGTAGGGACTTGGGCTGAGAAATGATCTGTGATAGCTAAGTCACTACAGAGATAAATCAGGGATTGGAAAAATAAAGCCAGTAAGAATCAAGTTACAGGTAAGTTACTTAATATTTATAGAGCTGCTTTTCCTCATCTGTCATCTCCTTCTCATCATTATTATTATTGTCTATAGTATTTCTCTGACAGCACTTTGAGGATTGTACCTAAGTGGCTAAGCTAAATGATGTACACGCTATTATCTGTAAACACGTGTGTGTGTGCACGCGCACACACACACTCTCTCTCTCTCTCTCTCTCTCTCTCTCTCTCTGTTAGATTTATTTCTACTTTCTACATTTTTCAGACCTGAAATCAATCTAAGAGCTTGGGCCTATCTAGTCTACAGGAGGATGAAAGTTGTAAAGTATTAGGTTGAATCATGTGAAATTGTCTTTGTAAGTCAAAAACAGCCAAACATCAGTCATTTCATATGAGTCAACATGGAAAATTCTAGATGTATCACAAAACGTAATGAAATGTTATCCATTATCTGGTAGTAGTTACCAAGATGAAGTTTCATGCTGGAAGAAATTAAAAAGTCCTTCTGAGGTGTGTCTTTTGTGCCAGGCAGAAGCCACCCTGGGCTCTTAGCCATTGGCCCTGTCTGAAAATCAGAAGACCTGTGTTTTACTTAGGTCTTCATTAAAAGATGTGATAATTAATTAATACTCTCCCCCACTCTGTATCTTTTTAAAAATTTCTACTAGTCAAATAAATAAATGTTGAAGGGCTTTGAAAAGCTAAAAATTATGTTAAAGTAACCACATCATCATTTCGAAGTGTAGGGGGAATAGATTGAAGGCTCTTCAGAAACAGGAGAATGGAATCTTGAATAATAGAACCCACTCAGATTTCTCAATTCATTCAGAATAGTATATCCACTAGCTAATACAGGTAGGAGATTTCTCCCCTTAATGTGAGAATGGGCCTGCAGAGCTTGGCTTAGATAAAAATGGAGACATAATCTGGATGATACCATATTTTTTTAAAATTAACAATAACTGTCGCTTTGTGCTGAGAACTGTAAGGAACAAATGGTTCTGTATGTCACCAGTTTTAATGGAGACAGGTGGTGTGCTCGGCTCTGCCCTGGGCGCTTTCCTCACTTGCAGAGACTGCTAGTGTTGCCAAATTCCAAGGTGGTTTAAGGCTGCACCAATGAAAGCTCCAACCTGCTTCTCCTGTGAACACAGTAGAATCTAATCACAACTCATTCAGGATTGGATTCTCAAGCAACTGGGGTCCTCAGAGATGCTTGGATTGCATTTTGCTAGCTGGTATTTTTTCACCAGACAATGGGGCTTCAGTCAAGCTCTTTCAGGACTTTTGCTGAGATTTTACTTGGAGGGGAAAAAACTTTACGATAGAATTTGAAGAACACAACGTGAAGAAGGCATATGCCATTTGGACCAGCATTTTTTATTTTACGTGAGAGTGATGTGGAGGGTTTTGGGGAAAGGGTGGCTAGATGGCAGGCACAGAGAGTGGAGAAAGAAACTACAAGCCCTTTCCCTGTGCCAGGTACTGGGCCGTAACAGTGCATGCATTATAGCGTGGATTTTTCACAGCGTCCTATGAGTCAGGGGGCATTGAGACCCATCTTAGGGATAAAAAGACTGAGCTCTGACAGCAGAGCACTCTAGGCAGTACTTTGGTGTCAACCCCTGACCGCAAAGAAATGAGGTCATGACTTTTTTTTTTTTACCATGGCTTAGTCCTAGATTAAACTACAGCCTGGAAAAATCTATTTGTCACAAAAATTATGTATTGATCTCCTTGTTTGATCCAGAAAAATTGCTTTAAGGTACAAGGGGCTACATGAATTGGAAGTTAAATCTATTATTATTTTTTTTCATTTAAGAAAACCTGCCCTTTAGAGTTGGCCATTTGTTTCCAGCTTTTGTGATTTCCTCATCTTGGAGCAAAACTTCTTCATTCTGCGAAGACCCACTTGAGTAGCCTCTTTTAGCTACGTAGATATAAAGCTAGTACCTCCTACTCCAGAGTTTGAGAAACCTGGAGGTCCGTACATGGGTAACACTGGTCATAAGTTTTCATACAAAGCTGAAAGTGATGAGCTGATTTGCTTAACACCTCTTAAGGAGCAACCCATCATATTCTGTTTCCCTCTGAGGCTCTGACTTGTTCTCATGGCTAGGGATCTGGGTGTCACACAGCACTGGAGTTGTCAGAAGGGAGGTTGCTGATGCTGAAACTTCTTTGGCTAACCTGCCTTGGCAGAGCATCTGGCCTGAAATGACTCTGAGGATGAGTGCGTTTGTGCGTGTGTGCGTGTGTGTGTGTGTGTGTGTGTGTGAGTGTGAATTTCAAGAGCTGTGTCAACAAGCAGCTCTAATGCTGGGAATGCAGGCCTACTTTGGGGTAGAGTCCAAGAAAGTGAGGCTGGGAGAGAACAATCCTCACCCTCTGCTGCCTTGCTGGTAGCAGTGCGGGGCCTTGGTTCCCAGGACTCTTGTTGGCACTGATAACCCGTTAGGCCCTTGTGTTCTGAGATGCCTGCTAGCTGGCAGGCCCTGGCACTGGAGGACTGTGTTTTTAGCAGCACCACTGTGGGTGTCTCTGTGGCAGAGCATGGGACACTTAACCAATTGATTCAACTGTCTTCTTCCTCTTCTCCAAAGAGACAGTAGCCACGTCTGACTACTTGGATTGAATAGGGGCTCCTAAGATTCCCATTCCATCAGACTAGGGTTTCTCAGGAAGAAAGGCATTTTTATTACCAAATGAGGACTCGATCTTGGAGTTATATTGTTTTTACATCAAAATGTGGTGAAGACGCACTTGTCTTCCTAATAAAAATCCTTGGATTTTAAACATTCCTTTGAATTCCTCGATGCTGTTTGCTTTCCTCCTCTTAGAAAAATGGGAGTCTAGCACACTTGCTTAGCAACTTCCATTGTGGTTTATAACGCTGTTCACAAATCAATTGCTAAAACTATGTTATCACCAACAGATAGGTAAAAAATGAAAATAATTTGAATTTAGTTTGTTCCAAAAATTTTTGGCAGCTGTTTTGAAAGCTCTAGTTCTTTCCCTTCATCAGGCATTCCAACTGCTTTTTATCTTAGATACGTTATATACTACTGAACACACACATATATGTTCTAAAATTAGCATCATGAATATATTATTTTATATCCTAATTTGTTCCCCCATATAATATTATTTCATTATTATTTTTCAAAAACATGACTTTTAATGGCTGCATTCGCTTGTATAAATGTGCCGTGGTTTAATTAAGCAGTGTGTTGGACACAATGGGCATTTCCATCTTCATCATTAGAAAGCATTCGATGGTGAACAAACTTGCACCTGAATCTCTGTGATCTTCTCTGATTATTCCTTTAAGGTGGACTCTTGAATATGAAAGTTTTAGATTGGAGAGCAAGTTTAAGCATCTCCATACCTATGTCACACAGTTCCAGATAAGAATGTGAAGCTTACCATATTCTTGCCAACATGTATTCTAATTTTTTAAAAAATGGTTGCCAACTTGATTTGTAAAAAACGTGTAACTTTACTCTTCCTCTCTTTTTTTTTGCTTTGATTGCCATTGAGTTAAACTATTTTATTTTACTGATACTTTGTATTTAGTGAAATATCTAATAATGTTCTTTATTTTTTCCATCAGAGTATTTACCTTTTATTATTACATTATTTGCAAGTGTTATTTATATTTTAGGGATATTAGCTCTTTGTCATAATCATAGCAAGAATGTTCCTAAAATTTTTATGCTGTTCATTAACATACAAAAGCTTTTCTTTTCACCCAGTCAAACCTATCAGTTTATTCTTTTTGATCTATTTCATTTTATTAAGTGACAAATATGAGTAATGTAGGAATAACACAGCACAGCATTGCTATTCCTTACAAATTATTCAGGCAATAGAAAATCTTTTCCAAAAATAAGTGTTTTTACTTTCAATCTGCTATTGCTCTTTTCTCATGCTTGAGAAGAAGTGGGCATTCCTAACACACTCCTTAAGAAGCCTTTTGGAGTCACTCTTCCTTCCGTGTTTCCCATTCTGTGCTGAAACATTTTCTATTTTTATGAAATATGTGTGCTGCCATACCTATTTTCCTGTGAGACATCATTCTTCTCCCCCTGCAGGCTTCTGAGCAGAGGAAAAAAAGAAAAAGAAAAAGAGACATCATTCTTCTTTCAAAATTAGGCAAATCCTTGACTGTCCTCATGGATAATTTCGATTTCTGTAAATGTTTAGACATTTAGACAACTGTTTAGACATTTTAATATGGTATTTGTGGCAGAGATTGACTCGCTCTTCATCAAACATATCCTCTTCCTTCTGGTTACACAGCTAAGTCTCTGGGTTATGGCACATAAAATGACTGTATGAGCAGAAGTCATGTGTGCCAGTTCCAAACTTGGCCCAAACCACACCTTTGACCAGGCACTGTCCTCATACTGTTTCTATGGTGGCTTTGGAAGCCCAGCAGTGGAGTGGTGGAGCCACACGATGGAAGGCTACTGGGACCCTGAGTCATCACCAGTCAGAACCTTGCCTTTGAATCTGTGCAAGGGAGAAATAAAAACTTCTCTTGGATTGCACCAATGAAATTCAGAGGGTTATTGGTTATAGAAACTGGTGTTACCTTAACTAATACTGTATTCTTGTGGTCAAGTTAGAGAAACTTTAGATTTGTAATAGATGATATCATTGGATGCAAAGAAAGTAGATTAATATAAGCTGATGTCAAAGCGGAGGGATATGTCTAGAGGCATGCCACTGAGTTCTGTCCTTCTATTCACAGGTGAGAGGTGGTCAGCAGTCTGGAAACTCTAGAATAAGATAGTTTGAAGAGAGCCATGATCAATATTTTCATATATCTCAAGATTTTTTAATGCATGGTTTAAGAGAAGATCATTATAACTAATGACTAGAAATTAAAGAAAAGCTTATTTTAGCTCATAACAAATAATTTAAAATAATAGGTTGTACTGCCTTGGAAACACATGATGTTCCATTCATTATAAGAAGCTGGTTATTTCCTGTCATGGATTTTTTTTTTTTTTTTTTTTTTGGTAGAGACCATTTCCTTTACGTATCTAAGATTCAATGAGACTGTGAACTACTGTATGACACTCTTATCATGATTGACTTCTTAGTGATATCTTTCCAGATGGTTTCTCTCTTCCTGAGATTGTGGGGCTGATAGGCTGTGTTTGTGATGCCCTCATTTGAATTCACAGTAGCTTGTTTTGCTAATAAGGAACTTACCTTTTAGATCCACTGTTATCAGGTTTGTTTTTCCGTTGCAGGTATGAAACTTGGATATTTATTGGCTCATATAACAGAAAGTTCCTAAGAAGAGCAAGTTTCAGGAAAGGTAGGTTTAGAAACTCTAATATATTGTCAATGCCTAGGTTCTTTCGATTCCTTCATCTGCCAGTTGCAGGTTCTTTCCATTCCTTCATCTGCCATTTGCAGGTTCTTTCGATTCCTTCATCTGCCATTTGCAGGTTCTTTCCATTCCTTCATCTACCAGTTGCAGGTTCTTTCGATTCCTTCATCTGCCATTTGCAGGTTCTTTCCATTCCTTCATCTGCCAGTTGCAGGTTCTTTCGATTCCTTCATCTGCCATTTGCAGGTTCTTTCGATTCCTTCATCTGCCATTTGCAGGTTCTTTCCATTCCTTCATCTGCCATTTGCAGGTTCTTTCGATTCCTTCATCTGCCATTTGCAGGTTCTTTCGATTCCTTCATCTGCCATTTGCAGGTTCTTTCCATTCCTTCATCTGCCATTTGCAGGTTCTTTCCATTCCTTCATCTGCCAGTTGCAGGTTCTTTCCATTCCTTCATCTGCCAGTTGCAGGTTCTTTCCATTCCTTCATCTGCCATTTGCAGGTTCTTTCGATTCCTTCATCTGCCATTTGCAGGTTCTTTCCATTCCTTCATCTGCCAGTTGCAGGTTCTTTCCATTCCTTCATCTGCCATTTGCAGTGCCAGTTCCATCCGGCAGCAGTTCCGTCCCCCATTGTGGGAAGTGATGCCAGAAACAACTGGAGTCACATGCCTTCTCGGTCATGCCCTCGAGAGTTGATAGGTTGCAGGAAACAGAAGTGGGAAGCCTAGTGCCATGTTAAGGAGATCTAGACAGTGAAGTGGGATACGTGAGGTGCAATGAGATGAGAGGGAGTCTTAAGAAAGCAGGAACAGGAGGTTAGATAATGTGTGCTCAGTAATTAATAGTTTCTTAGGTTCTGGAGCAGAGGTATGGCATAATGAAAAGCATGTTTAGAAAGTCTAGCTTGGTGTCATTTCATTTGGAAGAGGCTTCAGAGAAAAGAGGTTTCCTTTTTGAGGTCCTTTCAGTGGTGTGTTGGAGTAGTTCATAAGAGTTTATAAAAGCCAATTGATAAATTTTCAGGAATTTTGTATGCCAGCTATTAAACTGTTGGCAGCCAGAAATGGACTGTGAGGGAGTATTTACACCATGGAAACTGGCAAAACGTATGAATCAGGTCTCTTTCCCTTTGTAAAGCCAATTTACTACTACATTGCAGGTATTTTGCAATACGTCTTTGTTGTTGTTGTTGTTTTTAACCTGCCACAGGAGTAGGAGTAATCCTAGTAAATAAAAAGAAAAAATCAATTATAAGACCAAAATACTATCACAACCCCCCCCCCGTGGGGTCAATTATAAGTTATTGCTTTATGAGAAACAAACCTAAAAATCTATTCTCCTTTATTCCAAATTAATATGGACTAAGTTTATTTAATTTCAAGTATTGCAAAGGCTTAACTCTAACTTAGTGCTTCTCAAACTATAGTGTGCATGCCTGTTACCTGGGGATCCTATAAATGCAGATTCTGATTTCGTAAATCCAGAGAGGTAGCTGAGATTTTGCATGTCCAGCAAGATCCCAGGTGATGCCATTGCTACTGGTCTAGGGACTCTGAATAGCAAGGATCCAAACCTCATTCAGGGACTAATTTTGTAACCTGTTGCAGGAGAAAAGGGTGAAGGAAGCAGGCTGTCAGAAGCATCAAAACTAATTTGATTGAAGCTAGGTCCTATGTAGGCCAGCAACCAGATTGGCTTGACTGGCTCGAGCAAATAAAGAAGTGAGAGCAAACTGAATGGAAGGGATGTTTATCCTTCTTTTGTGTTTGTTTCTGTTGTAGGTAGATCATATTTATTATCAAGGTAAAAAGATGAATTACAGACTCCCAACTGGAGTTTGGCAGACTCTGCCATGACACAGCTTTGTCTATAAGACACATTGCTTTGTTTTCCAACTTGTTGCCCAGGAGTCATTTTTCAAGGGTGAATAATTGCCAAGTCACTGAGTTTGGTGTCACTGGGGAGATTATTATGGGTTTTTGAGTAGTAAGGTATAGACTTCTGCATTTTATTTTGGAATAACAACATATAAGCCACATTTGGTCCTTTGCTTTAATAGTGTTTCTAGGAACTCTCTTTTGAGATAAACTATGTCTCTTGGACTGTAGATTTTCATCTAGGGTTTTGAAATTTCACTAAATATAACTGGGTGGAACGCCAAATTTTACTGCTCTTTCTGAGGTTTCTCTGGATTCTGTTTTGATAAATATTTCACTATGGCCCAAGCCAAGTGACTGTAAAGCTAAAGCCAGCCTCTGTTTTTTCCTTTGGAAATTAGAGTAGAGAAGAGAGTTGAGATAGAGTGGAAATGCAGGGTCCCTGCAGAGTTGGCTAGAAAAGCCTTTCTAAATTTGAATTAAAAGCATAATTAGCATGCTAGACACAGTGGCTCATACCTGTAATCCTAGCTACTTGGAAGGCTGAGGCAGGAGGATATCTGGAGGCTACGACTTTTAAGACCAGCTTGGACAACATAGTGAGATCCCATCAATTAAAAATAAAAGTATAGTTATCAAATAGACACTGGATTCAAAATACCCCAGCATTACCACAATCAGCCTTTCAGAGATACTGTGTAGGCAACAGTAGTCCAGTTTTTACCAACAAAGGACTAATTTATCATTGGACAGCACTGAAAACTTTGACCATGAGATAGAAAAAATGATTGAACTTTAATCCTGGAAAAGACCTGAGAAATACTCAAATTTACATTGCAGGATTTACAGATGAGAAAACTAAAGCTTAAAGTATGTTATGACTTGCCCAAAGTTATCTTTCTTGCTGGAAACAGAGCCAAGGCTAGAATTCAGGTTCCCTGATGTTTTCTATTATACCACAACATTATTGACTTATTATTTACCAGGTTCTGTGCTAAATATTTTACTTATATTATCTCATTTAATTCTCATCAAACCATCTGTAATAGCTACCATTCATTTATTCATTTATACTATACATATTTATTACACACCTACCATGTGCCAGCCACTGTCCAAGGTGCTAGGGATACAACCAGAGTTACAACACTTATGTTCTTTCTAATGGGAACAGTAGACAATGATTAAATACGCCAAACTGTGATCCTTTAGAAAGCTATGAGTGCTATGGTGGAAATGAAACAGGCTTGTTAAGATGATGGTGGGTACCTGAGGAGGAAGAGAATGGCTTCAAATTTAGGAGGTGATATTTGGGTAGAGACCTAAGTAACAAGAAGAGTGTTTCAGGCAGAAGAAACAGCAAATGCAAAGCCCCAAGGAGGGAAGGAGTTTGGAATATTCAAAGAATGGGATCAATTAGGGTGATCAGACTATATGAGTGAGGGTAAAACTGAAGTAAAGGGTCCTCAACGCCAAGGTAAATTGCTGAGGAAGTGGAAAGCCTCTGGGGGGTTTTAAAAGCAAAGGAGCCAATGATCCAATTCATGGCTATTATTGTTCCTTTTCTGTTACTTCCTCATTTGACAAGTGAGAAGTCCAAGTTCACAGAGGTTCTGTGACTTGCTTCAAGTCATCCAGCTGTTAAGTGACACAGGTGTCACCAGGTCTGACTCAAATAACTCCAGATCCCAAGCTGAGCTGTTTCCATTTTTTCTGATATCAGTTTTCGTGTCCTCTAGCCACACTATTCCTACTTGTAAAACAGTCTGTTAAATAACATTTTTTGATTTGAAGTTTTCGATCTAATTTTTTTTTCCTGAAAAATGGGACAGGGGCAGTGTGCTTCACTACATTCTATTCTATTCTTCACTGCATCCTATTCTACCAAAGGAACTGATTTTTTCCTTGGGTAGGTTCTGATGCTTTAAAGTCCTCTAGCAGCGGAGAACGATCCAAGATGGCCGATCGCTAACATCCCGGGATTGCAGCTCTCAGGGAAGGCGCGGAGAACTAGAGGACGCCACACTTTCAGACAAAGTCTGGTCACTCACGGAGCAGAAGATCCCCCAGTGGTGGAAACACACGGGTGGCCAGCGCGACTCTCGTGGTCGGCGCAGCGGTTCCGCCGGCACCTCAGCTCTCGGAGCAGAGTAAACGGGACCGGTTTCCCTTCTGACCGAGGTTTGGAGCCCCGGGAAGGCAGAGTCGCCTACTATGGACACAAGAAGGAAGCCAGACAGGAGAATCCTGGGCAGAAAAGCACCATCAGTTTTAACGCCGCTGCTCTGGCCCTGGGAACTAACAACCTGGACGTCCACTCAAGAGACCTAATCTGAAAGTTGGTAATTTCAAAGAGACAGGAGGATAAATTTACAATGACGGGAAGAAACCAGCGTAAAAAAGCTGAGAATACGCAAAGTCAGAACGCCTCTCCCTCTAAAGATGATCACAGTTCCACATCAACAATGGAACAAGGCTTGATGGAGAACGAGCGCCTCCTGATGACAGAATCACTCTTCAAGGAATGGATAATAACAAACTTCGGTGAGTTAAAAGAACATGTTGTAGCCCAACGTAAAGAAACTAGGAACTTTGACAAAAGGCTTGATGAAATCCTATTGAGAATAGACAACTTAGAGAGCAGTATGAGTGAAATAATGGAACTGAAGAATACAATACAGGAACTCCGAGAAGTATGCACAGGTTTAAACACTCGAATTGTTCAAGCAGAAGAAGGGATATCAGAGGTCAAAGTCCAACTTAATGAAATAAAACGTGAAGAAAAGATTAGAGAAAAAAGGATAAAAAGGAATGAGCAAAGTCTCCAAGAAATGTGGGACTATGTGAAAAGACCAAATTTACGTTTGATAGGTGTACCTGAATGCGACGGAGAGAATGAATCCAAGCTGGAAAATACCCTTCAGGATATTATTCAGGAAAATTTTCCTAAACTAGCAAAGCAGGTCAACATTCAACCCCAGGTAATACAGAGAACACCACAAAGATATTCCTCAAGAAGACCAACCCCAAGG